AAAAATAACCCGATCATTTCTGTGTGCGGTCATTGGTGACCGGGTTAAGAACATCAACTCGCTACACTTAAGAACCCACGTTAACCACAACACAGTCCAAGGGGCTATATGTGAGCCTGTGGGTCTCTATGTATGTCTGTCGGTCTCTATTTATGTCTGTGGTTCTCTGTAAGAGTATATGGGTCTCCACGTGAGTCTATGGGTCTCCACGTGAATCTATGGGTCTCCACGTGAGTCTATGGGTCTCTAACTGAGTCTATGGTTCTCTGTAAGAGTCTATGGGTCTCTGAAAGAGTCTACGGGTCTCTGAGAGAGTCTATGGGTCTCTGTAAGAGTCTATGGGTCTCTGTAAGAGTCTTTGGGTCTCTGTAAGAGTCTATGGGTCTTTGTAAGAGTCTATGGGTCTCTGAGAGAGTCTATGGGTCTCTGTAAGAGTCTATGGGTCTCTGAAAGAGTCTATGGGTCTCTGTAAGAGTCTATGGGTCTCTACGTGAGTCTATGGTAACCGAGCTGAGGCCATCAACATGCTGGCGGTTTCCATCCCAGTGGGCGGCTGAAACCCAGCAGGGGGAGGGGGGCGAGGGCAGAGGGGAGGGAGGAGGGGGCGGGGGGGAGGGGGGCACCAAAGACGCCCCCACTCCCAGCCTCTCCTAATATTCCCTGTTCACTCCGGTAAGAGGCAATTGACGTAATATTAAGAGCCAAAGGTACATATTATTTATTAATACGTGCTTTTTTACTGTTGCAAAATCCATAACGCATTAAACATGTAAAATAAAGTAGCGTGGATTTGTGTTGCAAGAAGACCGACGAGCAGCACGGCTCGTTGTGGAGCCGCTGCAGCTCACGAGTCGCAACTCTCCCCTGGCTCTGCCCCCCCCCCCCCCCCCCACTGCGAGTTTCTCCTCTCACACGCGGCGGGGAGGAGTGCCAGCAGTGGCCAGGGTGATGGATGAACCGGCACCCATCACCGAGTCGCTCCAGCCACTCGCGAGCTCGCTCACCGGCGGTCAGTCGCCTCCTTGTCGCCCTTCTCACGCGACTACTACTACCCTGCTGACTGTTCCCGCTGACTTGACACTCACTCATTAGAACAGCCGTGTCGAGGACTCGGTCAAGCAGACTCACCGTCTCATTGACCACCCTGCAGGTCACCACAACGCACTCACTCACCCACTCACCACACTGCAGGTCACAACAACAATCACCCACTCACCCACTCACTCACCACACTGCAGGTCACCACAACGCACTCACTCACCCACTCACCACACTGCAGGTCACAACAACAATCACCCACTCACCCACCCACTCACCACACTGCAGGTCACCACAACGCACTCACTCACCCACTCACCACACTGCAGGTCACAACAACAATCACCCACTCACCCACCCACTCACCACACTGCAGGTCACCACAACGCACTCACTCACCACACTGCAAGTCACAACAACACTCTCATCCACTCACCACCATGCAGCTCACAACACTCACCCACTCACCCACCCACTCACCATACTGCAGGTCACGACAACACTCACTCACCCACCCACTCACCACACTGCAGGTCACGACAACACTCTAACTCACCCACCCACTCACCACACTCCAGGTCACCACAACGCACTCACCCACTCACCACACTGCAGGTCACCACAACGCACTTACCGACTCACCACACTGCATGTCACAACAACACTCTCACCCACCCACTCACCACACTGCAGGTCATAACAACACTCACCCACCCACTCACCACACTGCAGCTCACCCACCCACTCACCACACTGTAGGTCACAACACACCCACTCACTCACCACCATGCAGATCACAACAACACACTCCTCACTCACCCACTCACTACACTGCAGGTCACCACAACACACCCACTCACTCACCACACTGCAGCTCACAACAACACACTCACCCACTCACTCACCACACTGCAGGTCACAACAACACTCACCCACTCACCACACTGCAGGTCACCACAACACTCACTCACCCACTCACTCCACTGTGGGTCACCCCACTTCTCTTTTTGCCTCTTCCCTCGCAACTGCTCCACTTTGGAATTCCCTCCTCCCGTCATCATCCTCATCAGCATCATCTCCCAACCTCTTACATCACTCATACCCCGGCCGCTCAATTCAAGAAACGCGTGGCTACACCAGGATCCAGTCCACCTTCAGCCGTGCCGTTTGTTGCTGCCTGCTCGGCGTTTTGGCCCTCGGGCCTGTGCTTGGCAACCGTCGTTTCAGCATAAATTAAACCACTTGTATTGTGTGTAAACATTTATTATTGTAATGAATCCTCGTTACACGTGAATAATAATAGTAGTGGTTTACCTGCAGGCAAGTTCCCCAAAATGAACCCGAGCTCGCCACACAGCTCGGAAGGAAGCTAAGCCGGGCTTCAGCCTCGACAGTGCTTGTATGGGCGACCACCATGCGTATAACAGGTGCTATAGGTTACAGGCTGCGGGGAGGAGGGAGGGGGATACAAGCCGGAGAGCAGAGGGGCAGTGCAGCAACATGAACGGTCGTTCTGTACTGTGACGCCTCCACGGCTGTGACCTCCCCTGGCTGAGTGCACGAGATGGCACGACGGGAGCGATGAATCGAGCAAAATGATTAAACTTTTCGTTTCCTCGTGGTCGACTCCTGGTGCCCCTTTAAAGATGGTGGCCGCCCCCCACGTCCTGCCTCGCGAAGGCTGGAAACCCCCTACAAGCCACGCCCAGCGTGGCACGGCTGACGATGCTGTTGACCTCCCGTCCAGTGGCACAAGTGGGACCAGGGTCGGTATTTTTTTTTTAACCCCCAATCCCCCGGAATGATTTTCACGTATGATGTATCGATGAATCGAACCAATAATTGATAGGGTAAATCCAATTACTTAATTAATCGAATTACAGTCCATCTCGAGTTCAAAGTAAATTACCTCCGACGCAACAGGGAGTACAACCTCTAATATTGTGTTATAGCCTGTTAACTGTATATGTACACTCACATCCAGCAGCAGATAGAGAACGGCCGATATCAGCCCCACGCACCCATCACAGCTCCACGTCACCGCTATCGATCCGAATTTGTTGAAAAAGAAACAAAATGAAATCGCGACTAAAACGTTCAAAAACGAAAGTGCGCACGTAAAATACCCACCGATAAAAGAGACTGGGTCCCCTCCCCCCAATCCACCAACCCCCACTGACCAGCGTGGGGAAGTATGGTCAACTGATAACGAGATTCGGTACAGGCAAGGAAGCGATGCCCCCCAAGCCGCCACGAGGAGGTGCCCCTGAACGTGGTGGTCGAGAGGGTTGAGGATGGTCAGAGCACAAACCCTCCATTTGAGGCCAACACTCGTATCAACCCTCGCCCTTCCCTTACCCCCCCCCCTCACCTGAACCCTATAACCAGATCCTATACCTCCCTAACCACAAATAAAACCCAACCTCGACACTTGACCCTAATGCCACCCATAATTCAAACTCTTCCCCAGCCCAACCCTACTCAGTATTCCAACCCAACCATTATCTGTAACCCTATCTGTATCCCAATCCCAAACGTTACCACTACCCTGAACCCTGCACGCACTCCGACCCTGCCTCTACCCCATAACTCTATGCCTACCCCTAACTCAACCAGTAACTGTAGCCATAACCCTCCATTTGCCCTCAACACGACACCCTTAACACTACCCCCTAACACTACCCCCTAACACTACCCCCTAACTCAGCCTCTACCCCATACCGAATCATAACCCTTATCTATAACGCTACCCCGACCCAATACCGCATCTCCAATTTAAGTTAAAATCCCACCGTTTCGTTTCAGTTTTCATTCCAATTCCAGCCACCGGATGTACGTGTGTTGAACTTCTTTCGCACCGTACATAGCCAACCGTACGGGGGAAGGACAACAAAATATGCATGCCACCACATGCCACCCTTGCCTGCTCACTGACAGTCTATAGGACTATATACAGTCTATATATACAGTCAACATTGAGTACGCATCACCACGTGGGCCGCATTGCCACGTGACGACTCGCTGGGCGACACCGCTGGCGTGCGCGCTGGGGTTACAAAGTCTGTGCCATACTCATCGAGCCAAACTAAGGCACCCCTATGAGGGTTCATCGAGCCAAACTAAGGCACCCCAATGAGGGTTCTGTGTGGAATGAGACGATGGTTCTGGAACGGATGTAATGAGGGTTCTCTATAAGATACATTCTCAAATGCATGAATGCAAGTCAGCCCATTGTGAAGGCTACCCGGTCAACCGTGGGAACACAGGACACACACACACCACCTATACATCATGAAATATACAAATGCACGCAAGCTGATCTGTACAGGTGCGCACAGGTGTGCATGGGTAACAGTCCCGCCCTGCAGCCAACGAACAAATACATCAATAAAATTAAAATGCAACCCATTACAATCATCATCATGAGCATAACGCGCTTATTCTGCTGGCTGCGTGTGCACGTGAGAGTCGTCTTACTGTGAGGGCTTTGTACAAGCAACGCACCGTGGTGGGAGCCAGGGCCAAACCCAGCTGGCCAGATCTCACCGGTGGGAAGGGGAGAGAGGCCAACACGGAGGCTGCGCAACTGGCGGAGGCCGAGTTAGAGTCCAGGGTTGCTACGGGCGTCTGTGTGCGTGTGTGCATGCACATAGCCTGGCACCAGCGCCGTGGTGACGGTCACCATGTTGAAATGTCTGCGTGTTAGTCCCCAAGGTTGTTTTTGTGCAAGCGCTCGCAGGGCTTAATCTCAGCTGGGTCTGTCCCGCTTGCTGATCCTGCAATGTCATTTCACCACCTGGCACACCACATCCAGTATACCCTATTGCTATGGCTTCTGTGGTTACCCGTCACATGCCACACGCTCCAGTTTACCAGTGCGCTGTAAAATGATTAGTTTGAAATGAAGCCCCAGATGTTGGTAGACGTGGGTTGAGCCCGTGGTTAGTCCAAGAGGGGGGTGGGGCGCGGGTGTCAGACACGGGTCAGAGTCCAGGACTTGCTGCAATGCCTCGGCAAGTCAAAGCGCCTTGCGTTGCATCTCATCTCGACCGTTCCAAGGCCCTGCTGCAGTCCAGCCTAGGGGACCGCCAGTAGCAGCTGTCTCTGCGTGGTACAAGGTGCACGAAGAACCGGCCCGCACACGGGCATGACTCTGCCAGTAGGTGGCGATGTTATGTGCTTTTATTTCCCAATAAAATAATTGGCGAGGAAGTTATCAAACTTTATAAAATGTGGACCGTGACACGGGCACACATGGTCACATCTTTTCCCAATGATGTCACGGGACCTTTCACGTTCATAGTCGGAGGGGACAACAATTATCTTTGCGGTGAATAAACCCGCAGTTGTGCAATGGGCAGCACAGCCCAGAGGGCATCGGCTCGATTCCACCTCCTGGCGCGGCAGCCGAAACAACGATCGCAAGTTTCTTAAATTCACCCCACACCACCTCTGTCCGCAGGCGGTCGAGTCGGCAGGCCGCGTGAGTGGTAGGGTAAAGTGTGGGTACTTCCACCTCTTCTGAGAAGTCTGCCCAGCATAAAAGAGTCGGCCAACACTCCGTTCCAATGGGCTGCCCGATAGCTCGCGCGAGCGGAGGCCCTTTCCGCGGGCAGTGGCGTGAGCGAGCACTTGCAGGGCTGCACCTCTACCTTAACCGGGGTAGCTGGCGGGCTCGAACGGCGAGCCTCTGTCACAAGCAGCCCGGTGTGGCTCCGTGCCGTGCCACAGAGTCTCAGGGGTCCTCGGGGGGGGGGGGGGGGGGGGGGGGGGGTTGGGTGAGAGCGCTCCCCCCCCGGCCTCCCCCCCGCCGCACCGACCTTGGCGGGCCCGGCTAGTGACCCCCCGGCGCCCAGTGGGCCTCCTCGTGACCACGGGAGGCGATCACCACCACGCAGGTGACGATGGCGCACAGCACCAGCGCTGCGATGCCCACGGCCAGGCTGATGAAGGCGAAGTTCCGCGCCTGGCGAGAAGCGATCTCGGCCGCCAGGACGTCGCCACGCAGCAGGGCCGCACGTGCCTGTGGTGGTGATGGTCGTGGTGGTGGTGGTGGCGGCGGTCGTGGTGGTGGTGGCGGTGGGGAGAGGGAGGGAGAGGCAGAGAGAATCGTCAGCAGATTCGGCAGCATCACCAGAAGTAGTGGTGCCATCATTGGCAGCATTAATATCATGATTATCAAAAGTAGCAGAATAAAAGTCATCCTCATCAGCAGTAGCAGTAAAATCCTTGTCATTATCATCATCATCACTGCCACATTCATAAATCCCCCTCCTTAACCTCCTCTCTTAAAGCTCACCTATTCTCTATCACCCATTCTCTTCCACTTCCCTCGCCCCTCCACTCCTTTCCGTCCCTCCCATACCCCGTTGTGTCACTCATTCCTCAATCCTTGTAGCGCCCCCCTGCCATCTACATCGTTCCATTGTCACCGTTTTGCAGGCAATGCCAGGGTTAGATGACAGCCATCACAGCGAGCGATGGTCATCTTCATACGACTCTCGGCCTCACCGCCTCCATCTCCGGCACACCTCGGAAGAACCGGCGGATGCCATTGGCAGGCTCGGTGCATCTCCCGGCTACCCACCTGCACGGCCTTGAGAATGGCGAACACCCCCGTGGGCCAGAAGCAGCACACGGTGCTGAAGACGGCGATGGGCAGATAGTCGTGGGGGGGGGCCCGGGGCTCGCCTCCCAGGAGGGTGCCCCCCACGTGGATCCCCACAGAGGGGACCCCCCCGCCCCCTAGGCCCAGGGGGAGCGGCTGAGCGTGGCCGACGGCGGTCGTGCCGACGGGGACCGCGCCGTACCCCGACACGAACCCCTGCGGGAGGGGTGGGGGTGGGGTCAGCGTCAGGGGTCACTCATCCAGCAGTGTGCGGCCGTATCTGTGTGTGCGTCTGTATGTGTACGATCAGACGCGGTGCTGGCCAGCCACCCCCTCGTGTGCCGTGCCGGCCTTCATAGGTGCTGCTTGCTAACATCACCTGTCCCAACAGTCCGTTAAGGCTATATGGGGGATCTGTGTCTTTGTTGTGTGCACTTGCCCAAAAATCCTGTTGAGGTTATCGGGGGGATCTTAATCTTGCCTGTGTGTTTCTGTATGTGGACATTGTATGCGTGCAGTTCATTGTGCAGTTGGCTTACTCGTCTGTGTGTACGTATTCCATTGCGTATTATTTCAGTGTGCGCATGCCGGCACGTGTATGTGTGTGTGTATATATATCTGCGCATGTAGATATATTATATTTGTCATATATGTACGCGTGTGCAAACTATGTGCTTGCGTCATGAGTATTCATGGAGAGCCAGTAACGTAACGAACGCTGACTCGTGTGGAAACGCGGAGTTTTACGAACGCCGAGAATCAGCCGCGTTGATGGAGTGACAAATGGGGACTTATCGCGAAGAGCAGCGGAGAGGTGACCGACTTGTCGAGGTCACAGCAAGAGGGAAAGACGACGCGTGCTCGGGGCACGTGATGAGACGATGGCTTGGTACTGATCTAGATTCTAGAAACTACCTAAGGGGAGGTGGGGGGGGGTCCCAAAAATAGCCCCCACCACCCCTACATTAGTAAAAGAAAACATTTGATGCATTTTCTCTGCCAATATCAATACAATATCAACTTTCGTGGTCTCGGGGGGAGGGGAACGATTGAAATGGCGTCGACGGGATTCCGTCGCGCGCAGGGCCGGCACGTGGCGCGTGATGTCACCATCGGCATGGCGACGAGGCCTAAACCCTTCGAGTTCAGCCTCCACGTGGCAGCGCGACTCGAATTGTCGTTCGTATTGTGTCCCCTTTCTCTGTCACCTCCCCCGGTTCAGAGAGATGGACGATAACGCGTCGATGGTGGTAATGCTACAGCCGCACTGCAATGGAGTGCGGTGCCGTGGAGGCAGCGAGGGTTGGCGGATCACGCACACGTTCATGAAACTCCCTTCTTCCCGTAGGCGTCGAGGTCGCAATCTCCCGGCTTGCCGGGGTTTGTCGGCAGTACATCAAGTGGGTTAATCTGCATCTCTGTTCCGTCAATATGGAGTTTAAGTGTTACCCCCACCGCGTCGCACGCATGGGGCTTCTGCAGCTACTCCGGGCCTGTCGTGCCACGTGTATAATCACTCGTTAATAGTTTGCCGGACATCCCAATTGTAGGACCACCGAGCTTGAGCAACTTTGGGTCGCGTGGGTGCCGTCTGTGCTCCCCCCCCCCCCCCCCCCGCGTTTCCGTGCGAAATGTGAGCCGCGCGTTACAAATACTACTTGCGTCTTGAGGTGGAGCTTGAATGAATGACGACGCCGCTGTACGCAAGCGAAGCGAAAAATAATATTACAAATCATTATAAAGCTCGTGAAGAAGAGTGGTGATGAGCGACGGCAGTGAAGAGTGTAAGCACACACTGACCCCACCGACGGGGTAGGCCGGCATGAACCCCGCGTAGGGGACCGGGTAGGGTCCCGGCGCGGCGAACCCCGGCTGTGAGAACCCCGGAGGGGCGGCCGGGCAGGGGCTCACGGGAGCCGGGGTGTACGGGGGCCCGGGGTAGGACCCCCCTGGACCGAGGGGGGTCTGGGAAGGGGTCTGCACGGGGGCCGAGGGGATGGGGGGCATCACCGCCTGTGCGTACTCAGGGGGAGCTGCGGGGTCTGGGCGTGAGAGAGGTGGGGGGGGGGCCGAGAAATATCAGCAACAGCATCATCAGCATCAGTATCATCAGCATCAGTATCATCAGCATCAGTATCATCAGCAGCAGCATCAGCAGCATCATCATCAGCAGCAGCATCAGTATCACCAGGAGGCGCTTAGTGATACTGATGATTATGATACGGATTCCCCATAGCCCCGTGCGAACTGCTAAGCCCCCCCGCCCCGACACCTCCCTGCCTCCCCCCCAAAAAGCTCAGCCCCCCAAAATTCTTATAGTCAAGTAAAACAATGTTGGTGTCACATTTCTCCAAATACCTAGGGGGTGAGCGCGAGAGCGGACACCCTTCCGACCTCCGCTCGGCTCTTAATCTCCACGTGAATCCTTGGGTGGTGCAGAGTCCACCCGGCACGCACATTGCCCAGTAGCCGGAGTACCGGGACGTGTGCCAGCCGGTACTCTGGCCACCCGGTAAGACCAACTGGTACACAGACTAAGCACAGACAGTCTAACTGGTACACAGACTAAGGACAAACAGTCTAACTGGTACACAGACTATGGACAGACAGTCTAACTGGTACACAGACTAAACACAGACAGTCTAACTGGTACACAGACTAGGGACAGACAGTCTAACTGATACACAGACTAAACACAGACAGTCTAACTGGTACACAGACTAAGGACAGACAGTCTAACTGGTACACAGACTAGACACAGACAGTCTAACTGGTACACAGACTAAGGACAGACAGTCTAACTGGTACACAGACTCGACACAGACAGTCTAACTGGTACACAGACTCAACATAGACAGTCTAACTGGTACACAGACTAAGCACAGACAGTCTAACTGGTACACAGACTCAACACAGACAGTCTAACTGGTACACAGACTAAACACAGACAGTCTAACTGGTACATAGACTAAGGACAGACAGTCTAACTGGTACACAGACTCAACAAAGACAGTCTAACTGGTACACAGACTCAACACAGACAGTCTAACTGGTACACAGACTAAACACAGACAGTTTAACTGGTACACAGACTCAACACAGACAGTCTAACTGGTACACAGACTCAACACAGACAGTCTAACTGGTACACAGACTAAATGGTACCTAGGCTAACCGGTACACAGACTAACCAGCACTTAGGCTGACTGGTACACAGATTTATCGGGATGCAGATGACCCATCCACACAGCCTCACCAGTACCTAGACTAACTGTGCCCTCGACTAACCAGTACCCAGGCCAACCAGTCCACGGACTAATCATCACACACACGGATCACACACACAATACACTGATACACTTGTCAATACAAAAATCGGTCAATCATTAAACTGACATTTGCTGCGAAGCTCATCACCTTGACGGACAATTGCTAATCACGTGGGACACGTTCGTGATCTGTATTAAATCTCTGCGTGTGTGTATTTACAAGCAAACATTTGGAAGAAAATAGTGAAATCTGGTCCCAGACCCACACACACACGGGGTCTTGGCAATAACTACCCCCAAACCCCCCGTGTGGGGTCCTAAGGGGGTCTGGGGGGTACACGAGGTATGAGAGAGTCTGTGGGGTACACGTGGCGTGTGTGGATGGGACGGGGTCTGTGGGGGTACACGTGGCATTAAGGGGGTCTGAGGGGGTACACGGGGTCCTAAGGGGGTCTGAGGGGGTACACGAGGTATGAGAGAGTCTGAGGGGGTCCACGTGGCGTGTGTGGATGGGACGGGGTCTGTTGGGTTCCGAACGGGTCCCGGAATCTGAGTGGATGCGGGTATATGATGATGTCCTAGGTGGTATGAGGGGGTGGTCTGTGGGGGTACACGAGGTATTAGGGGTCTGTGGGGGTGCACGGGGTTCCTAGGGGGGGGGGTCCGTGGGGGTCTCACCGTGGGGCCGCTCGGCCATGGCGCGGCGCCTCCTGTCCCCGCCGCGGGGCTCCGAGGGGGTCGGCGCGGCCGGCGTCTGCGGGAACCCCGTGCATCGGGGCCCGGGCAAGGAGACCCCCACGACCCGCTCGGCCCACGACCCCTACGACCCGCGGGGGTCGTGGTCCCAAGCGAGGAGGAGCAGCAGCAGCAGGAGCAGCAGCAGGAGGATGAAAGAGGAGGAGAGGGCGGAGCGCGCCGCCAAGGGGACCCGGGACGATGGAGCCCCTCGGTCCGCGCTGGGAGACCCCCGACACGAAGAGCGGCGAGGGGGCCTGGCGGAGAGGGAGTAGCGCAGATCACGACTCGCTCTCTCTCTGCCTCTCTCTCCTCTCTCGGTGTCTCTCTCGGTGTCTCTCCCCGTGTCTCTCGTCTGTCACGAAAGGCCTCCCTCTCTCTGTGCGTCTCTCCTTGTCTCTGTCCCCGTCTCTCTCACGATCTCTCCCGGCTCCCCGTGTGTCTCTCTCCGTGTCTCCTTGACTCTCTCTTCCTATTTATTGCTGCCCCCCTTCCGTCTTACTCCTCATTCCTCTCCATGTCCTCTCTCTCTGCCTCTCTCCTTCTGCCTGTCTCTGTATCTCCCTCCCTGTTCACTCTCCCTCCCCGTCTCTTCACATTCTGTCTTCTCTCTAGCCCCGCGTGTCTCTCCCTGTTCTCTCCATGTCCTCTCTCTCCGCCTCTGTCGCCGTCTCTCTCTCTCACTTGGGCTCTGGCTCTTCCTCTCACTCTCCGCGTGTCGATATCTCGCCTTGTATCTCTCTCCCTTTCCTCTCCCCCCTCCACCACCACCACCCTTCTCCCTCCGTCTCTCTTATCGCTTCCCTCTTCCTTCCTTCCTTAATTTCCCCCCGACTCTCCCTCATCTCCCCCCTCTCTCTCCATTATCCCTCCGCTATCTTATCTCTCCCCTCCCTCTCCTTTAGCTCTCCCCGAATCTCACTCCCCTCTGTCCCCGACGTACCCTGTTTCTCCCCTTGCCTCTCCCTTGCCTCTCCCCCGTTCCCCCCCCTGTTCCCCCATTGCTTCTCCCCCCCCTTGCCTCTCCCCCCCCTTGCCTCTCCCCCCTTCCCCCCTTTCGCCTCCCCCCCCCTTGCCTCTCCCCCCCTTGCCTCTCCCCCCCTTGCCTCTCCCCCCCTTGCCTCTCCCCCGTTCCCCCCCCCCCTGTTCCCCCCCCGTCCCCCCCCTTGCCTCCCCCCTTGCCTCTCCCCCGTTCCCCCCCCCTGTTCCCCCCCCGCCCCCCCCCCCGTCCCCGCCCCCCCCCGCCCCCCCCCCGTCCCCGCCCCCCCCCTTGCCTCTCCCCCTGTCCCCCCCCCCCTGTCCCCCCCCCCTGTCCCCCCCCCGTCCCCCCCCCCGTCCCCCCCCCGTCCCCCCCCCTGTTCCCCCCCCCCTGTTCCCCCCCCTGTTCCCCCCTCCACCCCCCCCCCCCTCCGCCTCTCCCCCCGTCCCCCCCCCCGTCCCCCGTCCCCCTCCCCCGTCCCCCTCCCCCGTCCCCCTCCCCCGCCCCCCCCCCTGTCCCCCCCCCTGTCCCCCCCCCTGTCCCCCCCCCCTGTCCCCCCCCCGTCCCCCGTCCCCGCCCCCCCCCCCTGTTTCCCCCTCCGCCCCCCCCCCCTTGCCTCTCCCCCCGTCCCCCCCCCCGTCCCCCCCCCCCGTCCCCCCCCCCCGTCCCCCCCCGTCCCCCCCCCCCGTCCCCCCCCGTCTCCCCCCGTCCCCCCCCCCCTGTTCCCCCTTCCTGTTCCCCCCCCATCCCCCCCCCTGTCCCCCCCCCCGTCCCCCCCCTGTTCCCCCCCCCGTCCCCCCCCTGTTCCCCCCCCCGCCCCCCCCCCCTGTCCCCCCCCCCCGCCCCCCCCCCCTGTTCCCCCCCCCCGTCCCCCCCCGTTCTCCCCCCCGTCCCCCCCCCCCCCCGTCGTCCCCCCTGTTCCCCCCCCTTGCTTCTCCCCCCCGCTTGCCTCTCCCCCCGTTCCCCCCCCTTGCCTCTCCCGCGTTCCCCCCTTGCCTCTCCCTTTCCTCTCCCCCGTTCCCCCCCCTTGCCTCTCCCCCCCCCCCCACTTGCCTCTCCCCCCCCCCCCACTTGCCTCTCCCCCCCCCCCCCCACTTGCCTCTCCCCCCCCCCCCCCCACTTGCCTCTCCCCCCTTGCCTCTCCCTTTCCTCTCCCTCGTTCCCCCCCCTTTACCTCTCTCTTTCCTCTCCCTTTCCTCTCGGCGTGCTTCTCTCACGGGGACGGGCGTCGTCGGAGAGCGCGGTGACGTCATCCCACCGGGATCGGTGACGTCATCGAGGCGACGAGGATTGTCTCAATGTGTGTGCGTGACGTCACTACACGCGTGAGCCCCCACGGGTAGAGGCGCAGCTCTGCAGTGTCTCGTTCACGCCGCCGCTGGCGGAAGGGCCTCCACGAGAGGAGGGTCTGAAGAGCCCCTCCAGAGGAGAGTGATTGGCCTACTCGTCCACGCTCGTCGGCCAATGAGTGACGAGTCGTGTTTATTATTGTTGTTGTTATTCACGTGTAGGGGGCAACGCTCTATCCCCGTGCAGACGGGACACACAGATGGCGAGTGGTCCACCGGCTGCGCCGCCTTCTGGCGAGGCAGGGTACGGCACCTCCTCGAGGCCCACGGGGGAAGAGAGATGCATTCACACCCCATCTGTGCGGTGATCCACCAACCCTCGCTGCTGCCTCCACAGTCCTGCAGACGCTGCATGTCCAGGTCGCTTGACGTTTCGTCTGGTCAAACAAAGCAAACGTTCGCGTCATCGCGAACCGCTCTCGAGTAGTAAATTGTGAGCAATTGTCTGCAAAGCGCGTCAATTACAAGGAGTCTGCCACCTGAACCCTGTCACGGGGTCCCACGTGGCCTCGGCGGGACCTCCAACGTGAACACTTTGCTCCTTGCACGCTGCGGGAGACCCGGCATGGAGCTTGCTGTATGTGGGACATGGAGCTTGATGTATGTGGGGCATGGAGCTTGCTGTATGTGGGGTGGGATGCGGATTTGAGTTGGGGTGGGTGGGGTAGGTGAGGCTGGTTGCTTAATACTCGAGAGCTTATGTTAAATGTGGTGTTTTTCAAAATGTAAATTCCATCGAATTGCACTGTGCTGAGCTCTAAAGATGCATCTACAGAACCACTCACGTAGAGACCCGCAAACTCACACACAGATCTCTATGAAGGAGGATGCACCATCACAGCAATACGCCACTCCGCGACTGCTGACGCTGGCTAAACCACCTGAGTGTAACGTTGCAGCTGTTGCGCCACATGAACCATACAAAGCACGAGAGAGAGAGACAAAGGCGGCCGGGCGCTCACTGACAAGCCACGTGACGCAGTGACAACACCTCACCAACAGCACGTGGAGTCAACCTTCATCATTTTAATGCAATACAAGGTTCTTTACAACGGCCCTTCAGAGAGATATAAAAAAACAACCACAAACACCCAGGGAGTCCAACTTGGACCTCGCAGGTGTGTTGAGAGAAGAGAAATGACGTTCCTAAAGGGATTTCTAAAAAAGAAAATCGTTCAGGCGACGCTGACGGATCCCAGGCACAGGTTGTCGGGTTGGGTGAAGGCGCAGCCCCTGCAAGTGCTTGCGGGCCTCGCCACTAAAAGCATCTCTAGATGAGAGCACACCCCCCTTACCCGCCAAGAGGAGAGCAATTTCGGCCTCCTCTTCCACGCTGGTGCAAATGTCTTGGAAGAGGTGGGAGTGCCAACCCACACTTTAAACCCACCACGCGCGTCCTGCCGACGGACTAAAGCGTGAACCCATCCCGACCGCTGGGTGGACAAAGACGGCGGGGGTGGTAGTGGTGGTGAGGGATTTGAGAACCTCACCCTTATTGCTTTCACTGCCGCGCCGGGATGTGGGATCGATCCGGCGCCCTCTGGGCTGCAAGAACAACGGGAGAAGTGCCGCTGATCGACGTTTCACCACCGCTGTGGTCACCCGCAACGCGCACGGTGTTCCATGAATTCGTAAAAAAAAAATCACCAGCCAATAAATAATATAGTTCGTCAATATTAAATTGTTTTCCATTTTTACAAAATTACTATTTACCGTATTCTCCGGATTATAAGACTGACCGTTTCCAATGTACAGTGTTTTAAAGCCAATGTTGGTTGGCTGCGTCTTTCGAGTCCGGTAGCCATGTGCGCGTGTTGTTATTGTGTGTCTGGGGAGCGGTGGCGCAGTGGTTAGCTCACTGCAATCCAAAACCAACGACTCGAGTTCGATTCCCGCTCAAGACCAACACCAGTGGCGATTATCCGAACCGGTCCTGGGTCTCCTCTAGGTCGAATCGGCCTCAAATAAGCACCTGGTGCGATGCGAAAACATCAGCACTGGGGAGACAAAGGCGGTCCGGGCGTGGTGTTGGCCACACCCCCTCGTGTGCCGTGCTGACCTTCACAGGAGCTCGCTAACAGCACTTGCCCCGGCAGTCAGTTAAGGCTATAGGGGTGATCTTTGTTTTGTGTGTGTGACCAGATCTGTATAACTTTATTGAAAGGGGCACACGTTTTGGAGTGCGTCTTACTTTCCAGAGCGTCTTATCAGCCGAAGAATATAATATTTCTGTTTTTATTACAAGTTACAAAAAAAACACTGCAAGGTCATTCGTATCATATTAAGTTATAAAATATATATCACACGCAGGGCTTAATTTCTAACTTCAATCGGAGCTGTCCGGGGCTGAACTCCGGAAAAAAAGATTACACCCCACGAGAAATGAAGCCCTGATTGCACCTTTTGTAGTAACAACTGGGTGTGTGCCTCCCACACGGAGTGAAGTCGCCTCGATGGGGCTCCAACCATCGACAACACGAACATTTATAAATATGTTAAATACTATCGGTGGACACTTTCTTCAAAGGAAGGCGTTAGTTCGCCCAGAGCGTGCGAGACGCGCGGTCGATCTGCCCACCTTTGAGACTGCCAAGGCAAAGTACGTAAGACGTAGCCTTCACAGACTGCACGTAGCATTGTGGTTCTTTTATATTCGACGGCTTTTCGCCAACAATATTACGATTCATAACGAGTTTATTTTGGGTGAGATCGTGCCTGTAAAAATGTGAATTGTATTGACCGTAACCCTCCCCACACCGAGCGACAGAGCCAATCAACTCACGTTGTCACGTGGACGATTGTGGCCGAGTGATTTGGGTTTTCAGCACAGACCAGAGGGAGGGAGGAAGGTCCAAGCAACATGTTGACAACTGCACATGAACGATGCTTATCTGGAGATTATATCCAGCATCATCAGGCGTGAACAAAGCTCAGCTCTCGCTGACATTATACCTACACGATCTAAACCAAAAGAAAATTATTACGAATCAGAATGTGCTCGTGTTTCCGATGGGTCATCGTAATCCTTAGAAATCATCAGCAGGACCATGCCCACCTGTAGAATGCCAAGGAAAACAGTTTGTTATAAAAGTCATCTTAACCTTTAGTGCCCATCAGCATGCCATGCTTACTCATATGCTGCAAAGGCAAGCACGGAGTGTTATATTGATCTTCGTAGTTCTTGAGTCTCATCAGTGCATTATGCCCAGCTACAGGCTGACAATAGTATACAATAGTGTTGTGTCTTAATGACCACCACAGTTCATAAACAAGGCCATGCCCACTTACACACTGCCAAGACAAGCACGGATGGTTATATGGGTCTTCGTCATCATTCTAACTCATCAGCAAGCTATATACTTCCGAAGACACACTGGGGCATTACCAGTGTCTTCATAATTATTAGAGTTCATCAGCAGACTATATCCACATACAGACCTTCACAGACACTCGAGTGCCGTGTCTTCATGATCACCGTCTCATTAGCAAAGCTAAAGACTGCCAAGTTAACGTCAGTCTTATATGGGTCATCATGGTCATTTTGTCTCGTCAGTGACCCATGGCCACTTACGTGCTGCCAAGGCCAGTACAGTATTCCTATATCTATAGCACACGTGTCTTCATGATCACTGGAGCTCATCAGCAAAGCAGTGCACTGTCACAGACAGCCAAAATAAAGTTTAGTGTTATATGGGTCATCGTGATAATCAGGCCCCATCAGTGAGCCCATGGCCACTTACACGCTGCCAAGGCAAGACACAGCGCATCCATCACGCCCGGACGTGTCAGCCCTTAATTAAATCAGCTCTGTCGAACGTGCAGGCCACCCTTCAAATTAACGGGTTCCTCCATTCCATTAATCACCTACGATTCGTGGGTGGAAGGGGGGCGGCCGGGGCATGCCTGAACTTATCACCCCGCCTCATCTTGCGTTTGGCAATAGTAATAATAATAACACTACTACACACAGTGTTATAATTACTATTGTGTGTGGCTCTGTACGAAGTCTTCGTACTTTGTCAAAAGTACGAAGTCTACGAAGTTCCCGTCCTGTGCGCCGGTAGCTTCTTCAGGAGCTGACTTAAGCAGAACCGGTGTTGCCGCTTCGATCTTTTACACTATTTGAAGTTGCTGATTTGCTTTGTCCGGGAGCAAACCGCAGTGCCCGGATAAAGCTGCTCACTCGTACGTACGAGTGAGTACGAGGGCACAAACCGAGGTCACCCGGAGAGCTGATCAGTTCAGTTCGCGTAAAGATGCTCCCCGGCACGTGGAGCGAAACATCGGACATCATCCACCAAACAACGCGACGACACATCGGAGAGCTTACACAGTTTGGCACTCGCCTAAAAGCGGCAACAGCCAGCCACGCCGAACACTGAACAACAACATGGTTCTAACACTTTCTCATAGGCACGTGCGGGGTTTAGCACCACCTGGTGGTCGAGTGGGGCAGTTGCCACCTGCAGACCCACAGCCCCACCACGCCCGGTTGTCATCACCGCGCCCCGTGGCCCAGGCTATCTTTTTCTTAGGTTTTTTTCGGTAAAGTCACGTAGGTAAAACATCAAAATTAATAAAAAATAAAATAAAATAATTTTGATGTTGATGTTTTACCTACGTGACTTTACCGAAAAAAACCTAAGAATATGAATCCTTGCAGTCACGAAAGCTTCAAATCTAGAATCAGGCTGTCTTTGTCAAGGTGATTTCGTGTTGTTGTGGCTGCTGCTGCTGCTGCGTTGGCACTGGTACACAAGTACAATTAACAATAACAACCTCGACACATCCTCATGAGAACTAAGCCCAGGAATGAATCACTAAGCGGATGGTATGCATAGTTGTCAATCCCTTATCACTGCCTACCTTAATACAGACCAATTCAGACTCAACGTTCACTCTACAAAGTCCCATCACAAGGGAGAAACACAAATAGACAATTTTGTTTTGCCCATATTAAAACGGCTGTACGCTGTATGGACCTGAAAACTCAAGTGCCCTTTACAAGAATACGGGTAAACCAGTTGGGTTGACAGCTAAGGGTATAAATACTGTTCATCAGGACACATTTGTATTATGTAATTCTCAGCGGGACCAAATTTATATTTTACTGATGTATCTATCCAGGCGGGCCACGCTAAGTAGTAGCACTCTCTTTCAGCAGGGTCCTGCATTGCGTTATGTGTAAGATGCGTTCAGCCGGAGCACCCGGAGCACACACTCTATCCCCGTACAGATGGAAACAGATGGCGATTAGTTTAACACGGAGGCTTTCGCGACCAATATCATCCATACGTTTTTTTTTTGGGTTAGATCGCCTAAATATATAAATGTGTCCTTAAACCCGCCACAACGAAGCAGTAAGGTTTGTCGTGTAAACGGAACATGCCAATTCGTGAGAGGCCAGCTCGCCGGTATTATGGATCCACTGGTTGTGCGACTGCCTCCTCCTGGACGGAGATCAGAATCTTTATACTGCAGGAATCCGATGAGCTATAAAGCGGTCTGCAACTCTTATCCGCTCTCTTTGTGCTGTGAACAAGGGTCATTGCCCGAAACGTCGCCGACGATAGGCCACGGCGTTCTTGACGAGAATTGCGTTTTGTCGCTGCAGCGCAGAAGATGTCTGTCGGTGTGAAGAGTGAGGAGGGGGGAGGGATGGTCACGTTTGGACGATGCTCCAGCCCCGACACAACTCTTGGCATCAAGTTGTGTTGGGTAGTGCCAGGGACGTAACGGAGAGGAACTTTGGCGAAATTCTTCTAAGGGTTTTGAAGAAATTGGACACAAATAAATACTGTAATATGGGAGCCCCCCCCCCCACACCACCCCCTTCTCGGCGTGACGGCCATGCCGGCAGAGGTGCGCCCTCCCCGGCAGAGCCGCTACGAGAGCACCGCTGTCTCAAAATCGGCCTACGACAAACAATTATCGCAGATGTGATCCAATACGAATACAATTTGAGTAGAAAGTTGTGCTGCTCTTAGGCACTTACTCGAGAGAAAATCCGGCGAAATTGATCAAAGCCTTACCCAGAACTAAGAGTTACCCGCTTGGGTAACGAGCGCTAACAGTTACCCGCCTGGGCACGACGGCCCTGCCGGGTGAGGCGCGCCCTTCCCGGCGGGGCCGCTATGCAAGCCCTGTGGTCTCGGTCGCGGCCTACGAACACAACGGACCCGTGCGCCACTGCGGAGCGGGGCCCCCAGGAAGCCGCGGGCGACGTCCGCCCCCTGGCGGCCGCGTGCGGGAGCGCGCACGGCAGCCGCGGCCCGTGGTGCCACCAAGGGTGGTGGACACAGCGGGGTCACATCCTGACGGCATCGCCGTTATCATCGAAGTACCTTGACAATGACCATCGTCATTGTCACCAATTCAGCATCACGACCATATACTGTATTCATTTTATATATGGCCGTGATACTACATGGTCCATAGCAAACGGATATTGATGTTATTGATTATGGTTTGATTCAAACCCATGCGACGCGGACTCGGCAACTCCCAACCGCTGTTCCACCCATCTGGGTCCAATCTAAATAATTCCATCCCCACCCATCTCCGCGTTAGATGTGAGGCCTCTCCAACGAGTACTTGTGGCTTCCCCGTGTAAATTCGGTGGTGTCAATGTGAGTGTAAGCCCCCCCCCCGACCCCCAGCCCTTTTTCGCAGCATCTCGGTGAGGTTGGAGTCAGCGGTACACAACCACCGGACCCTGTGGGTAAGAGATAATGGTCGTATATGTTTTGTGTTCTTGAGCATGATTGGAATACGCCGCCATGGTCATTAACGGTGGCACACGACCGGAGCCACTCACCTCTCCGTTATGTGTGTGTGTGGGGGGAGTTGTGCACCTGAAATTCTAGTTAATAAAATTGTCCTTCAGTTTGCGGAGTAAATCGGCTGTGCGTCGCGTAACCCGCGACGGGCTAGCGAGTGGCAGCAGCGACGTAAGCATGAAATAAAAAGGCATTTTTGTTGTTTTGTGTGTTTTTGTCGAGAACGGAGAGAGACGAGTCACAGGCGGTCGGGGTCGTGACCCCGGGAAAGGGCGGCGGTCTCTCCGGCTCTCGCTTGAGGTGGTCGTCGTGCCGACTGTGAAGGCAGAGGTGAAGCAGAGGGACGGGAGAATACACCCCCCGCCCACCCCACCCCCCTCCAAATCAACTTCATCTCCAGCGGTGAAGAGAACGACTGCTGCTGTTGCTGGCCTGCACATGCAACCCGGCTCAGGGTTCGGGCTATGTGGATCCTGACTCACGTATTATCCAGATCAGAGCATATGCAGTGGATCATCATCTCGTCCAGATCACCTCGATCTGGCTAAGGGTAAAATTCATCCGGATTCCACACAGGAATCATAAAAAATTAAGTTCAGGGTTTTGGATAATCTGGATCTGGATGGTATTTCAGATGATCTAGATCTGGCAAAGGAATCTTTATCATCCAGTTCAGGGTTTTGGATCATCAGAATCTAACCGATGAGTCCAAATCCAGCACAAGCATCATAAAAAAACTGGTTCAGGATTTCAGATCAACCAGATCTCACCGATAGTTCAGATGATGAGGATCAGGCGGGCGATTACAGATCATCTGGATCCAGGATGGATTTCATAATCAGACAAAATCCATTACGGGCATAATAAAAAATCCAGTTCGGGATTTTGTATGATTCCGGATCCGGCCAATGGTCAGGACGATGAGGCTCAGGCTGGGGGTGTGGGCCACGTGGGGTGGGAGAAGGCGATGCGGTGGTGCTTGGCCCAGCGGCCGAACACGGCCTTCTCGGTGAAGAAGCGGTGAGCGCCGGTGCGCGCCCTCTCGTGCACCGCGTACTCGCTGCACTCGTTGCGTCCCTGAGGGTCGTAGTAGTGGTAGGGCACCGTGCGTGCATTCGGCCGGCTGGAGAGAGCATGAGACGAGAAACACACGGACAAAGATCCCCCGCGTAGCTCTTGGGGGCAAGTGCCGTTAGCGACCACCTATAGGCTGACACGGAGTAAACCACGTCCAGCCGCCTTTGTCTCCCCAGTGTTGATGCTTACACAATCGCACCAAGTACTCATTTATGGCTGAGTCAACCGGGTTCGTAGTGCAGTGAAGCGCTGAATGTTGCGCCATCGCACGCTCGTTCGACGCACGGGCGGGCTCGGGCGTGCGGGTGCGCGTGTGCCTGTGCGTCACCGAGGCTGTTTGCTTTGTTTGCTTTTTTGAGTTCCAGACCCGCGACCGTCGCGCTCCCTCTCTGCGGCGATTCGTTCGCTAATTTCTATTTATTTTAAAATGCGTGAGCTTGGGCAGGACACGTCGCTCGCAGGGATAAGGGAATTAAATTTCTATTTATATAAAAACAAATGTCAGATTATACCGCACAAATGTCACATTGTACTGAGCGATTGTGCTGCTGCCCACAATATTATTGTAGTGATGTACAGGGTTATTTTTTTTATGTTGGCCAATTAGAGTCAACATAAGTGAAACCCCACGCATCCAGTACAGTTTATAAACGACTGTAATTCACTTTGATCAGTTTATTGTGGACTCCGCCTGTTCCATCTGTATGGATGACGGTGCTCTGGTTTCCTCCCATGTGTGAACACATTGATTACATCTTCATATATAAGGGACCACAGAGCTCGTGGGGGAATTTGGTACCGACTCACTCTCTATGTGCTCTGAAGAGCGGCCATTGTCCACTGCGGTACCAATTATATACCTTTTATTTTTAAGGCCACAGAGTTATCGATGAAGCAGTAGAGTTATGGGTGAGTGGGGGAGTAAGTTAGGGTCCATGAGAATAAGGAATTGGCATCTGCAGTCGAGTTACGTGTGAGTGAGTGATGGTGAGCGCGAGTGAGTGAGTGAGTGTGGTGAGGCACCTGCAGTAGGCGTCGTCGATCATGCCGTACACGTGGATGCTGTCGCACACCTCCATGGCGAGCACCATGGTGAACCAGCCCGTGCTGAGGTACGCGCCCGACTTCAGTCTGCGCCACGTCACACCACGCCACACCACGCCACATCACACCACACCGCGCCACACCACACCGCGCCACACCACACCGCACCACACCACACCGCACCATGCCACGACACACCACCCCACACCGCGCCATGCGTCACACCGCACCACACCAAACCGCGCCACACCACGCCACACCACAACGCGAGAAGGTGGAGGAGGGGAAGAGTGAGCGCTTGTTCACATCATCATAATTTCCAACATCATCTCTACAGAGCACTCATTTTAGAAAGCACTTCACGATACACGCACTGTACCTGACTTCAGCTTGGGACCAAATCTGTGACAGCGACACCGCAAAATTACTCCATCAGTGGGACCGCACGCAGCAGCGCTCACTGTCACGCCAGACAGCGCAACCACCGCAGCCTGGGCTCTGGCAAACCCAGCGGCGCCTCCCTTCCTGACGATCGGCCCGCGCGCTACGAGAGCGAGCGAGCACGCGGGCGCCAACCGCGCGGAACCCAACCACGCGAACTTACGACCGTTAATTAATTCATTAATCATGGGAGATGAAGTAGAGGCGGGCTGCGGGAGGGGTGGGGAGAGGGGGATGAGGAGATGCGTTGCACCGAAGCTCCCGGCACGCGGAGCCAAACGCCGGGCGTCGTGCCGAACGACGCGTGACGACAACCCAACAACGACCACGACGCACCGCCTAGACAGCCTTGCGGTTAGCACAACCGCGACAACCCGCACAGCAGCAGCAACGGAAGCATTGGCGGGGCAGGTTGGCGGGGCAGGTTGATGTGCGCAGCGCTGGAGGTGGAGTTGATCGGATTTACTCACAAAGTGGGATTATCACCTCTCCTCGCCACGCTCCGTGAGTATCAGGGTTTTACATGGCGTTTCAGATTATCTCGATCTGGCAAAGGGATCTTTAAAATCCGCCTCAGGGTTTCGGATCATCGGAACCCCAATAGCACAGGCAACGTCAAATATCTGGTTCGGGATTTCAATCGCTCCCCCCTCCCTCTGCCCCTCCCCTGTCCCGTGTCCCCCCCCCACCCGCTGGGTCTCACCGGTCCTTGCCCGTCTCGTTCTTGAAGATCTCATCGCACCGCTGCATCTGCTCGTCGGTGAGCGTGAAGATTTGCGCCCAAGGGAAGCGCGACTTCAGCGCCAGCAGGGTGCGGTAAACGGTGCCCGGCGGGTCGCGCTGCATGTTCCTGCGGGGGCCCCAGACCACGTACGTGGCGTTGCCCTCTACAGGGGGCGAGGGGGGGGGGGCAGAGGAGGCGCGGGTCACACGTCCGTGTCGGTGTCCGTGTTGGTCTTCGTGTGTGTGGGGGGTGGTTTGTGCGCTGCGCTGCAAACCCGGCCAGCCGAGTTCAATTCCCACGGCCACCAACACCAGTGACGATTATTATCTGAACCGGTCCTGACTCAGCCTCAAATGACCACCTGGGGTGGTGTGTAAACATCGCCCTTGCCCCAACAGCCTGGGTAGGCCACAGTGGCGGGTGGGGGATCTTTGTCTTTATCATCGTGTGGCAAGAAAACTCCCTCCCCCAGGTGTGTCCCAGGTAGCTGCACATTCTCGTAGACGTACTTAAGGTATCTCCCCACTCCCCCCCCCCCCCCCTGTGCTCACGCGTGTTGTCGCTGCCGTTGCCGAAGAAGGCGGCGGCGGCGCGCGCCAACAGCGGCACGCTCGTGTGGGACACCACGCGCACGCTCGTGCGGGCGCCCACGTCGTCGCGGTAGCGCGGGGCGAGCACCGCGTTGTTCATGCGCCACACGCACTCGGCGCCGTCGATGTCGCGACCCGCGCCGGTGCCCAGCATCTGTCCCGAGCTCGACACGAGGGCGCAGTCCCCGCAGCGCAGGCGCAGCGGCTGCGCGGGGGCACACGGGGGAGTCGCGATCGTTATCACCGCCGTCGTCTTCGTCGCGCGATAAATCGTAGCGCCGTCACGCGGCGCGACGTCTCGTGGTGTCGTCGCGTGGCGGCGCCGCCCACTCACCTCCCCGTGCGGGACGCCCACGTAGCCGCGGAGAGGCCTGGCGGGGAGCGGCCGTCTGGCGCCAGGCGTGGTGCGGCGCTGCCCTCGTTCGGGAGGCCTGCCGGGCGGCGCTCTGGTGTGCTGCGTGCCGCCGGGCGGTCGGTGTCGCGCCGCAGTGGGCTCCGGGCTGCGCCCTGCACCCTGATCGGAGGGCACCGGTGCGTCCTCGGGGCCAGCTTCCTCCACCCGCCCCTGCTGCTGCTGATGATGATGCTGCGGATGCTGCTGCTCCTGTTTCATCAGCTGCTGCCGACGCTGCTGAGGCTCGGTGAGCTCCGCGGGGACAGCGGAGGAGGGAGGAATCACCTTAAAAAATAAAATTCGCGGCGTTACCGCGACGGCTTGAACGCTGGCGTTGTCGCACGTCTCGTTTCCTGCGAGACGTGACGTCAGACATCGTGCCGGGCGACAAGCGGTGTGACCCGAACACGCATCGGAGAGCCAGTGGCGAGGTTGTCCCACCTGGGCTATCGGCGCAGAGCAACGCGACCCTCCTTGGTGTCAGCGAACAGCCCCTGGAAGGGGATACTACAGAACTACCTCGGGGATTAAAATCGACGAGTCACTAAATCACTCCGGAGCAGACGGTGAGAGCGCGATTGCTGGGGGCGATGGCGAGGGTGCGAGTGAGCCCCATTGCTCACCTGCAAGTCAGAGATCCGGAGAGCCCAAGCCAACAGCAACAAGGTCGTGATGATGCAGATGAGGGCGCAGAGCCTCTGCACAAGGCGCACCGCACAAACCGCACATCGTCAGCATGCACCGCACACACCGCACCGTACCGTACACCGGACACACCACGCACCCCACGCTCACCATGCGCACACGCCACACCGCTCATACCACGTACCGCACCACGCACATTGCACCACACGCACCGCAAGCACCGCACCTCGTCACACCACACGGGACGAAGTGTCCATTCAGAGCTCCCGCAGAGGGGCGCATTGCCCCATGTTCGAGAAATCGCCGTGGAAATAGATATCACAGAGCTGCTTCCGAGAGCCCTTCCCGTGACCACGTGCCCACACGCGAGGCCTGCTCCCTCCCGTGAGCCCTGTGCGCGTGGTGTTCGTCCGGGCAGCGGTGGTGGCCACGCTGATGCACGTGCCTGCCTCTAACCCAGCAGCGAGGGTTGGTGGATCACACACAGACGGGGTGTCGAGGAGGAGCCGCACCCTGGCTCAGCAGGTAGAAGGCGGTACAGCAAGTGGGATCATCGCCATCTGTTTGTTGTTCAGTCTGTATGGGGATGGAGTGTTGCCCCCTCGCGCAAAGCGTGGGGCTATCTCCGGGTACTCCGGTGAATAATAATCAACACGACACGTCATTAACTCATCAATAATAGACACAGCTCAACATTGATTGGCTGAACATTTTACAAATAAAAACCCAACGTAGCAGCAGCAGCAGGAGCCTCCTCAAAAAGAGCCTTACGACTCAGCGTGGCTCTCCTGGACGATTAATTAATTATTAGTTAATTACATTATTTAGTGAAACCCCAAAGTTAATTATCGTTTTTTTCGCACAGTAATCGGTGAGCCGGCTGGGATCACCAACTCACCAACCTTGATAATCGTTGTTTAATCAGGGAGTGGTTGTCCTTTGGATAGTCTCGCTCCCTGCCATTGCAATGTGGAAATGGCATTCCTGACTCGGGGTCACAGAGAGGACATGAGCACTGCCTCAGGTCTCGGTTGAGCCGAGCTCAGCGATGAACTCCACTGTGTGCGCACGAGCGCGTGTTGCTATATGGAGCGTGTTCCTATACGGAGCGTGTTCCTATATGGCACGTGTTCCTATATTGAGCGTGTTCCTATATGGAGCGTGTTCCTATATGGCGCGTGTTCCTATATGGCGCGTGTTCCTATATGAGGGCATGTTCCTATACGGCGCTCGTGTTCCTGCAGGGAGCGCGTGTTCCTGCACGCGGAATCGGAGCCATGAGCGCACCGCACTTCTGACCCGGCCACCCGAGTTCGAGTCCCGCTCATGCACGGCCGACATCGGCGACGATAGACCCGGACCGGTCCTACGCCGACCCGCTCGGCCGACCCCGCCTGCTTTACACACGCGCCCAATTGAGTTGTAAGAACAACAACATACAACAACATAAACTTGGCTTTCTATCACGTAATTCGCAACAGGGCCTCAAGAGCGTTTCACGTGAAGATTACGTTCGGGAGAAAGCCGCCGCTGCAACAGCGAGCCGAGTTTCACTCGGCGATTTAAAAAATAAAAAAACTGCCACAGACTCGAGGAAGGGGATTCCACAATCGCGGAGCCTGGCAGGGAGATAATGTCAGTCTCCCGTAGCGCGACGTCTGCTCTTTACGGAATCGTGAGTCGGCCAGAATTGGTGGGCAACTTATAACCCCCTGACGGTGCCACGCGTGGCGCGGGTCCCAGGGAGAGGCGCGCCAGGGCACGCCACGAGGGTCAGCAATTGGTGCAGGGCTTGAGCTGACGACGTGGCAAGGAGGGCCTGGGGTGAGTGGCGGAGAGAGCGGAAGGGAGAAACCCTTGTGACGAAGCTGCTTCAATCGGAGCCTCTCCAGCTGCAGCAGCTGCTGCTGGAGTTGATTAGCAGAGTCACCGCCCTCTCCGCCACGTGTGTGTGTTGCCTGTGTTAAGGCAGCTGCTTGGATGATATTTATTTTCCATCAGTGTGTCTGTCCGTCGTCTGTGTCAACGCGTGTGCCCGTACCTGTGTGCATAACCTGTCTGTCCACCACACAGGTCAACCAACACTGATACGAAACTCACCACTCGACTCACTCACACCAGCACTAAACTCACCACTCGACTCACCCACACCACCACTAAACTCACCACTCGACTCACGCACACCACCACTAGACTCACCACTCGACTCACCCACACCACCACTAAACTCACCACTCGACTCACCCACACCACTAAACTCACCACTCGACTCACCCACACCACCACTAAACTCATCACTCGACTCACCCACACCACCACTAAACTCATCACTCGACTCACCCACACCACCACTAAACTCACCACTCGACTCACCCACACCACCACTAAACTCACCACTCGACTCACCCACACCACCACTAAACTCATCACTCGACTCACCCTCACCAGCACTAAACTCACCACTCGACTCACCCTCACCACCACTAAACTCACCACTCGACTCACCCTAACCAAGACAACCACTGTTGACTTCCCCACAAGTGGAGGCAATTGAATGAACCCCTGGGACCCTTGTTCAGGAACTCAAAGTGAGCAGCTCGCATTGTCCCTCGATGAAATGGAACTTCTGCGGCTGCCGCCAGTTCCCATGAGCAGCACGACTGTGAGAAGCGATGGCGTGGGGAACCATCCCCGCACACTGGGAGAGGATCACGTGGTGGGGTTCGTGTGTCAGAGTTACATTCACGCTCACGGCCTACACCCGCGACAATTATCTGAACCGGTCCCGGCCTTCGCCGAGGTCGACTCAACCTCAAATTAGTACGTCATGATACGTGTAAACGTCGCCACTGAGAGAGACAAAGGCGGTCGGGCGTGGCGTTGGCCACCCACCCCCTCGTCTGCCGGTGCGGGCCTTCATAGGTGCTGCTCGCGACCGGCCACTTTGCCCTGACAGTCTGTCGCAGGCTGCGCGGGGGGTCGTCTTTGTCTCTGCGTGCCCGGGGAGTGAATGCGTGACGGGGGTGGGTGCGTGACGGGGTGTGGGTGCGTGACGGGGTGTGGGTGCGTGACGGTGCAGGCGCAGCAGGAGCTGTCTGTGCGGGAGATGGGGAGCCACTCAGGATGAGACGGCCTCGGCCGAAGCGAGGCAGGAAAGCCTCGCGCCGAGTCCTTCAGGGCTCTCGTTCAAGAGGGTCACTTTGCAGTCACTTGTCTCGGCATTTCAATGTTTGTGGGGCCAATACCGGCCCCACTGCGGCTGTGGGTTGAGCTGTGGGAGGAGGAAGCTGGAGAACCCGGAGGAAACCCATGCCCACACACACACACACAAACCCATGCCCACATACACACACACAAACCCATGCCCACACACAAACCCATGCCCACACACACACAAACCCATGCCCACACACACACACACAAACCCATGCCCACACACAAACCCATGCCCACACACACAAACCCATGCCCACACACACACAAACCCATGCCCACACACACACACACACAAACCCATGCCCACACACACACACAAACCCATGCCCAAACACACACACACAAACCCATGCCCACACACACACACAACCCCATGCCCACACACACACACAAACCCATGCCCAAACACACACACACAAACCCATGCCCACACACACACACACAAACCCATGCCCACACACACACAAACCCATGCCCAAACACACACACACAAACCCATGCCCCCACACACACAAACCAAACTAAGGGGCGCACAGCAAACCCACTGTGGTAGGCAGCGCTCCTTCGACGGAGGAGGAACAGCGGCGACACGACACGAGCTCTCTCTCTGCTGAAGCCCTCTCTCGTCGTGGCCAGCAGCAGACCTCGACATTGAAGCACATCGCTGCTGCTGCTGCTGCCGTGAACTCACCCACCACACACACTCACACACTCACCAACCACACACACTCACCAACCACACACACTCACACACTCTGGGCTGTGGTGGCATGCGACCGGCCGGATGCGAGATTGCGAAATCTTGCACCAACCCCCTCAATTCACCCAAAGACAAAGATCCCCCGTATAGCCTTAACGTACTGTTGGGGCAAGTGCTATTAGTGAGTAGCACCTATGAACGCCTGGCACGGCGGCACACGAGGGGGTGGGTGGCCAGCACCACGCCCGGACGCCTTTGTCTCCCCAGTGGCGATGTTTACACACCGCACCAGGTGCTCATTTGAGGCTCGGGGAAGCCCAAGACTGCGTTAGGTGCCCATTCCACGTGTCCAATACCGCGTCCGTCCGGGCTACAAGACGCTCCGGAAAGTAAGACGCACCCCCCCCCCCCCTGGTGTCAATGAAGTCACACACATGATGATCTCTCTCTCTCTCTCGCACGCAGCGACACCGGATTACAAAACTTCCCGGCGCCCACCCAAGTTTTGCTCGTTTTAAAATAAAGGGAGAATACAGTGTGACGCCTATCTATATACAGTAGCAGTAGTCACAACGTTTCTGAAGGTCCCGTTATCACGTGGAGCGCGAAACGTCGGACATCCCTCGTGCCGAACAGCAACAGCAAGTAGGGCCCGGAGAAGCGACATCGAGTCGTGTCACTCAGACTCACTCAAGGATCCCCCCCGCCGCCCCACGTGACCTTTAGCAGGCTGTTGGACGTATTCGTGTTGAACTTTTTTCGCACCGTACGTAGCCAACTGTGCTCATCGGAGGTTCTCATAGCGAGTAGCGCCCATGACGGCCGGAACGGCGCACGAGGGGGTCCATTCTCAATAGAGTAGCAGTGCAAGGGAAGACAAAGGCGGCGTTGTCCTGTGGTTGATCGGAGACCTTTTTTAAAAGTCAGCTTTAGCTTGGTTAAAAGCACGCTCCCCACATTCACAATTCGTCCCCAAGACGACAACAAACATCGTGAGAGCAATGTAAACTTGTTTAAAGCTGCTGATCAGCTTGTCAGCTATTTGGGATTTGAGCATATCTGCCACTGTTGTTGTTGTTTCTCCGCATACAAGTGCAGGAACAACAGGAATTCATCGGAGAATGATTTTTTTCAGATCTGCTGGATATACAGCAACCAACGCATTGGCCCGCACAACAACAATGTCTTTCCTGTGGACAGCGATCTATCGACAAGGAAACTGAATCGATTATTCGACCTGGCACGAGCATTTCGCCGTTATTCAATATCCACGAGGCGTTGATTCACGTTACGATCAGGAGCTAAATGTGTCTTTTTTTCTAATTTAGCTTAAGATAGCAACCATGTAGCCCTAGTCCTGGCCACTTCTGCAATGCTAATACATCAGGTAAACTGGGGGAATATGGCAACTTATTTTTCCGTACTGTAATTTTTACATTTATTATTTTAGAAAATAAAAATAAACATTTAAATGTGTTTTTTTTCCATTTAAAATTTTCCCCCATTCTTTTTGCAACGTCATTTGTTGGCTGCTCTTTGCAATTTCTTTCCGGTGGCAACGAGGGATCGAGCCGTTGTTAGCGAGGCTCATCACAAACCTGAAATAAAGTCAAACTAATTTTGAAGCTGAAGCCGACGTGTCGCTCACCACATGGTCATCCCGCTAGAACATCGACTTTGCCGGCATCCTGTTCAAGCCGCATCATCCGATCCGATCATCATAGTAACACAAATTATTGAAGACATTTTCGCTTTTAATATTTTAGGCTTCACCTTGGTTTGTTCTTCTTCAATAATTTCTAATTAAATCTGCTTATCTGCGGCACACAGAGCGCGCGCCCTTCGAATGAGGGCACGGACTCAACAATGAACGCTCCCAGCAGTCCAGCGGCTGGGAGAAGAACCCCGCGTGGAACGAGCGGAGTGACATGGGCAGCAGTGGCCTACGAAACAGAAGTGCCCAGGGCCTCATCCGGCCCAGCAGACAGCCCAGTGGGCCTTACCTGGTCACATACCGACAATAGTTTAGTTTAGTAACTACCGCTCCACACGCGCGCACCCACACACGCAGCTCACAACTCACCGCTCGCTCGCTCACCACTCTCTCACTCACCACTCTCTCACTCACCACACTCTCACAACACTCACTCACAACTCACCACTCTCTCACTCACCACTCTCTCACTCCCACTCTCTCACAACACTCACTCACTCACAACTCACCACTCTCTCACTCACCACTCTCTCACTCACCACTCCCACAACTCATAAACAACTCACACTTTCTCTCTCTCTCACCACTCACTCACACTCACTCACCACCCTCTCACTCACTCACTCACCACTCTCACACAAACTGCACACGCACAAACCCGGCTGTGTGTGCGCGTCATGAACGAGGTTTCAAAAGCGAGGCTCAGGTATCATCAACCCTTCCGATTAGCACGGTTTGCTACGTACGGTGCGAGAGAAGTTCAACATAAAGTACATACACGAGCCCAAGCATACCGGACTGCACACTACACATAATAACGACCCCGTTAAGCTTGTCGCAGACTGTTGGGGCAAGTGCTGTGAGCCAGCACCTGTGAAGGCCGACACACAGACAAAGATTCCCCGTATAGCCTTAACAGACTTTTGGAGGCAAGTGCTGTTAGCGACACACGCACACGCACTCACGCACTCACTCACGCACTCATTCACTTACTCACTCACGCACTCACTCACGCACTCACTCACTCACTCACCCACTCACGCACTCACTCACTTACGCACTCACTCACGCACTCACTCACTCACGCACTCACTCACTTACTCACGCACTCACTCACGCACTCACTCACTCACGCACTCACACACTCACTCACTCACGCACTCACTCACTTACTCACACACTCACTCACGCACGCACTCACTCACTTACTCACACACTCACTCACTCACGCACTCACTCACTTACTCACACACTCACACACTCACTCACGCACGCACTCACTCACCCACCCACTCAATCACCCACTCACTCACGCACGCACTCACTCACCCACCCACTCAATCACCCACTCAGTCACTCACACGCTCACCCACACACTCAATCACCCACTCACTCACTCACACATTCACCCACTCAATCACCCACTCACACACTCACTCATTTACCCACTCACTCACACCCCCACTCACTCACACACTCACTCACACACTCACTCACCCACTCACGCACGTTTGCTCCGAGTATCACGGGACAGGTTCCAGGGCGCGCAGTGCACCAGAGCGCGCGCGTCAATCCACTGCTCGATGTCGCGACTCCCCGACGCAACGTGCGGCTCGTGGCACACGCGGGGGCTGGGTGCACGGGGGGGGGGGGGTACACGGGGGGGGGGGTACACAGGGGGGGGGGTACACAGGGGGGGGTACACAGGGGGGGGGGGTACACAGGGGGGGGGGGGTACACAGGGGGGGGGGTACACAGGGGGGGGGGGTACACAGGGGGAGTACACGGCACACGCGGGGGCTGGGTGCACGGGGGGGGGGGTACACAGGGGGGGGGGGGGTACACAGGGGGGGGTACACAGGGGGGGGGGGTACACAGGGGGGGGGGTACACAGGGGGGGTACACGGCACACACGGGGGCTGAGTGCACGGGGGGGATACACGGGGGCTTGGAGCACGGGGGGGGGGGGGTACACGGGAGGGGGGGATACACGGGGGAGGGGTACACGGGGGGGAGGTACACGGGGGGGGGGGTACACGGGGGAGGGGGATACAAGGGGGGGAGGTGTACACGGGGGGGGGGGGGTACACGGGGGGGAGGGGTACACGGGGGGGGGGGGGGTATACGAGGAGCAGCGAGGTACAGGGAACGATTAAAAGGGTGGATAGAAGAGAGAGAAATTGATAAAGGGGACGTGGGGATACGAGCAGCGAGGGGACATGGGAAGGGAGGGATGCTGAGAGCGAGTGGTTAACGGGAGCGAGGGGCATTCGGGGAGGGACTAACGGGAGCGAGGGGATAAGGGGAGCGAGGGGATAGGGGAAGCCCCTACCTTGGGGGTGCAGGGTCTGGGTGCCATCGCCTCATGCCGGGAGGGCGAGCGAGCGAGCGAGACGGAGTGAGGCAGAGCGGCCCGGACTCTCCTCCTCCTCCTCGCAGAGCTCCGTTACTGCGCTCCCAGCCACGTCCCACAATCCCCCTCGCTCCGCGCGGGTCGCGCTCTCAGCGAGCCACGTGACGCGCGAGGCTCGCGTTTCATCCACAACCCCTCCTCCTTCTTCTCCTCCTCCTCCTCTTCTCCCTCCTCATCCCCCTTCCCATCCCCCTCCTCCTCCCTCTGCTCCTCCTTCTCACCCTCCTCCTCCCCCTCCTCCTCCCTCTGCTCCTCCTCCTCCTCTTCTCCTCCTCTTCTCCCTCCTCATCCCCCTCTTCCTCCCTCTGCTCCTCCTTCTCACCCTCCTCCACCCCCTCCTCCTTCTCCCCCTCCTCCTCCTCTCGCACCCTCTTCCTCCGCCCTCCTCCCCGCTCCTTCAACTGCTCCTCCCACTCCTCCTGCCCCCCTCTCCATCCTTGCCCCGTGTGTGCATCACCGCGTCTCGCTCTCCGTGGACACGCCTCTTACTCCGTCATCCCTCCCATCCATACTTTACCACTCCTCCCTCCCACCCCCTCCTTCCCCCATCCCTCTTGAATCCTTCCACCATCCTCCATCCCTGCCTCTATTCCTCTCTCCAACTTCGCTCCCTCCGTCCCTGCCTGCCCCAGGTGCTCGCTCTCAGCCTGCGAGGCTATTCGACTGTCGTCGTGGTGGTGCACGGCACCACGCAGCTCGGCCACCCGAGTTTCATTCCCGCTCGCGACTCACAATCAGCGGCGACTTTTTATTTACACCGCTCGCGCTGCTGGGCCTCCCCTAGGTCGACTCAGCCTGAAGTGGCCACCTAGCGCAGGCGTCCCAGGGGAAAAGTGATTCAGAAGTCGAAGGGTCCAAACGTCAGTGGGGGTCCCAGGGTCAAGCGGTGCAGAGGTTACGAGGCGACTCTGACTGTGATGGCTCTGATGTTGATGACTACGACCGAAGGATGCCGCTGCCGATGCTGCTGATGATCAATATTAGCGATGAAGATGCCGATAGTGACGATGCAAGTCACTGAAAACGACGATGATGATTATCCACGAGCCTTTAGCCCGTCCCAGGACGGGTGTATTGCAGTGAATCTGAAACTTGCAAGCGCAAAGCAGACCGCGACGTGATATTCATTGCATCCATTCGTGTGCAATTTGTAAGGGCGCAGTGATACAGATATAGTTCATTTTAAGGTTATAATCCCTTGTTCATCATGACGTCCTTTTTACTTCGATGTTTCAACAGCGTTACGGAGATCACGTGACGTGAGGGTTCTGCCTTTGTCGTGAGGGTTGTGAGTTGACGCAAAGGAGGGGGCAGGAGGCGCCTCGCCCCCCATGTGGAGTGACGTCAGCCGCTAATTATTATTAATGGATGGGGGTCCATTTGGAGGATGTAGCCTGTTCATGATTAATGAGGGGGGTTGGTCGACGTGGAGTGACATCACGAGCCTTGCACACAGACATTCTTGGCTCATTATCGTCGGTAATAATAATGGGGGATGGGGGGGTCCATTTGGAAGACGTCACCTGCTCATGATTATTAATGAGGGGGGCTGGTCGATGTGGAGTGACGTCACGAGCGTTAAGGACAGACATTCCTGGGTGATTATAATAGGTATGGTTATGGTGATGATAGTGAATTATGATAATGTTGATGGTTCTGATTCCGATTGATGATGACGGTGGTGATGATGAGTATGACGACGACGTTGCTGCTGCTGATGGTGATGTGAATGATGATGGATTGGCACAACGCCAGAGAAACACAGCCACGATTACAACACATTAAATAAACACATCGTGATGTTGTTACGCGTGGCTACACCGCGGGGAAGGGGACGTGGAGCCAAGCTCGCGATGGATGGGAGAAGGGAACGGACCGGGAGAGGGACGGGAGGCCGGGATGGAAGCAGCAGGGAGAGAGGAGGAGGAGGAGGGGTGGTGCAGGAAGGGAGGAGGAGGAGGGAGGGAAGGAATAATCGGGCTAAGATGTTGGGGATGATGAGCTGGTGACGATGATGATGATGATGAGCTGGTGATGATGAGCTGGCGATGATGATGATGAGCTGGCGATGATGATGATGATGATAAGATGGTGATGGTGATAATGATTATGAGCTGGTGATGATGATGATGAGCTGGCGATGATGATGATGATGAGCTGGCGATGATGATGATGATGATGAGAGGGCGATGATGATGATGGGAGGGCAGGCAAGAGAGCGAGAGGGGGAAGGAGCGAGCAGCAAGCAGTGAACTGCACGGAGGAGCAGCGTCTGTTTTCAAAGGGGGCGGGAGAGGGGAGGGATGCAGAGTGGGGGGGGGGGGGGCACAGGAGTCACGTGATTTACGGAAGGCTTGAGCCGGTTGAGAGAGATACTCGGGAGGCAAGTTTTGAAGGGTAATGAAGAGTAGTTCAATACAAACGACGAGGATGCGTTCCATCGGCAAGACGTAAAACACTCAGTTTGAATGCACCGTACAATAATTGGGGTTCTGCAAACAATTTATTTCCATCAAGGACCGGCTTTGTATTTGCTTGGATTTCACCAGCACGGCGAGGTCCGTTACCCGTCACGTGACAGGCGATACTCCACAACAGGAAAGCGGCACGAGAGGTGTGCTTTATTGTGCCAGCATCACTCCCGACCGCCTTTGTCTCCCCAGTGCTGCTGTTGTTTACTTACTCGTTTACGGCCGAGTAAACCTTAGCGGAGGCCCCAGGGGCGGTTCAAATATTCCCTGCCACTGTTATTCGGTCGTGAGTGGCATTTTAACTTGGGTCTCGGGATTCGTCGCGCGGTGCGCTAACCACTGCGCCACCGCTCCCCAGGTACAAATATTGTATCTCCCGTGTAGCCTTAACAGACTTTTGGGGCGAGTGCTACTCGCGAGTTGCACCTATGAAGGCCGGCACGGTACACGAGGGGGTGGGCAGTGGCCAGCACCACGCCCGACCGCCTTTGTCTCTCCCAGTGGCGATGTTTGCACACCGCACCAGGTCCTTATTTGAGGCTTACTCGACTTAAGGGAGGCCCAGGACCGGTTCAGATAATCATCACTGGTGTTGGCCGTTAACGGGAATCGAACTTGGGTGGCCGGGTTTGTAGCGCAGTGCGCTAACCACGACGCCACCGCTCCCTACAAAGACACGCGCGCGCGTACACACACACATGGACGCGCGCGTACACACACATACACACGGACACACACACACACACGGACGTGGAAGTAAGTGCCTGCGTTTAAGTGCTCTCTTTACAAGCCAGCTATCATCTGTGGCCAGGTCACTTTTGAAATAAAAGTTAATAGATCAGTGGGCTTTGTCTGGTAGGCTGGGGATGGTTCAGTGCTGTATTTGTTTGTGTTTGGGTGATTTGTTTATCTCTCGCGTACTTTGCACTCCTACCGTGCTTTTGCATTGTTTGTTATTGTAACGTTCTTACCTGCCCCTACTGGACATATGTTAGATATTGAGCTTCATAGCTCATCGGATTCCTCCTGCAGTAAAAATAAATATTCTAATTCTGAAGCAACTAAACAATAAATACAATCAATTTTAATTCAAAACATTACGATTATCTGGCGAAGTGCTGAAGATCCGTAGAGAGACAGTCACGATGTGATCAGCTAGTCCTGAGATGGCCGTAAGCGCCTCTTCCGGAGGAGGAAGTTGAGTTTGCTGATCCGATTAAGAAGAGGTCCAGATCTGGCCAGGATGAGAACGAGGAGGAGTAGGAACGAGGAGGAGGAGGAGGAACGAGAAGGAGTTCTAAACGCGGCCGTCGGCTGGCCACTCGGGGTGCGAGAAAGCGGACGTTTCTCTGCGCCGCCCAGCGCCCGAACACGGCCTTCTCCGTGACGAAGCGGTGCGTGCCGCCCCTCGCGTGCTCCTGCCTCGAGTACTCCTCGCACTCCGTGCTGCCGTTGGGCTGGTAGTAGTGGTAGGGCACCGTGCGGTGATCGGGCCGGCTGCGTGGACCACGCGGGCAACAGAGAGAAAGCCACGTGGTCAGGGCTGAAGCCCGGGGGGGGGCAGCTGCGGATGTTAGCGGTTCGACCTCCACTGGACTGCCCCGGTTAATCCTGCCAGGCGCTAGGCACCTGTGGCGCAGGATTATTGGTGACCGATGGTGAAGGCGAGTGAGTGGGTAAGTGATGGCGAAGGTGAGTGAGGGAGGGTGAGCGTGGTGAGGCACCTGCAGTAGGCGTCGTCGATCATGCCGTACACGTGGATGCTGTCGCACACCTCCATGGCGAGTACCATGGTGAACCAGCCCGTGCTGAGGTACGCGCCCGACTTCAGTCTGCGCCACACCAAACCAAGCCAAACCACGCCACACCACGTCACACCACACCACGCCACACCACACCACGCCACACCACGCCACACCACACCATGCCACACCACGCCACACCACGCCACACCACGCCACACCACACCACACCACGCCACACCACGCTACACCATGCCACACCACACCATGCCACACCACGCCACACCACGCCACACCACACCACGCCACACCATGCCACACCACGCCACACAACACCACGTCACACCATGCCACACCACACCACGCCACACCACACCACGCCACACCACGCCACACCACACCACGCCACACCACACCACGCCACACCAAGCCACACCACACCATGCCACACCACGTCACACCATGCCACGCCACACCACGCCACACCGTGCCACACCATGCCACACCACACCACACCACGCCATACCACACCACACCACACCAAGTCACACCACACCATGCCACACCGAGCCACCCACACCACGCCACACCATGTCACACCACACCACGCCACACCACACCACGCCACACCACGCCACACCACACCACGCCACACCACACCACGCAACACCAAGCCACACCACACCATGCCACACCACGTCACACCATGCCACGCCACACCACGCCACACCGTGCCACACCATGCCACACCACACCACACCACGCCATACCACACCATACCACGCCACACCACGCCACACCACGCCACACCACGCCACACCACACCAAGTCACACCACACCATGCCACACCGAGCCACCCACACCACGCCACACCATGTCACACCATGCCACGCCACACCACGCCACACCACACCACGCCACACCACACCACGCCACACAACGCCACACCACGTCACACCACACCACGCCACACCACGCCACACCACGCCACACCACGCCACACCCCCCGCTGGGTCTCACCGGTCCTTGCCCGTCTCGTTCTTGAACATCTCGTCGCACCGCTGCATCTGCTCGTCGGTGAGCGTGAAGATTCGCGCCCAGGGGAAGCGCGACTTCAGATCCAGGATCTTGCGGTAGACGGGGCCCGGCGGGTCGCGCTGCATGTTCTTGAGGGGGCCCCAGATCACGTACGTGGCGTTGCCCTCTGCAGGGTGGGGTGGAGTAGAAGGTGATGTTGCCTACAAGTAGCAACGTCTATGTTTTACATGCGGCGTCAGTCATGCAAACGGCATTGTACACAGCCACACGTGCTAATCGGCAGTGCGGGGGAAGGACAACAAACTAAACTAAGGAGTGTTCCACCTCCACCCCAGGTGTGTTCCATCTCCCCCCAGGTGTGTTCCATCTCCCCCCAGGTGTGTTCCATCTCCCCCCCCCAGGTGTGTTCCATCTCCCCCCAGGTGTGTTCCATCTCCCCCCCAGGTGTGTTCCATCTCCCCCCCAGTGTGCTCCATCTCCCCCCCAGTGTGTTCCATCTCCCCCCCAGGTGTGTTCCATCTCCCCCCAGGTGTGTTCCATCTCCCCCCCAGTGTGTTCCATCTCCCTCCCAGGTGTGTTCCATCTCCCCCCCAGGTGTGTTCCATCTCCCCCCAGGTGTGTTCCATCTCCCCCCCAGTGTGTTCCATCTCCCCCCAAGGTGTGTTCCATCTCCCCCCAGGTGTGTTCCATCTCCCCCCCAGTGTGTTCCATCTCCCCCCCAGGTGTGTTCCATCTCCCCCCAGGTGTGTTCCATCTCCCCCCCAGGTGTGTTCCATCTCCCCCCAGGTGTGTTCCATCTCCCCCCCAGTGTGTTCCATCTCCCCCCCAGGTGTGTTCCATCTCCCCCCCCAGGTGTGTTCCATCTCCCCCCAGGTGTGTTCCATCTCCCCCCAGGTGTGTTCCATCTCCCCCCCAGGTGTGTTCCATCTCCCCCCCAGGTGTGTTCCATCTCCCCCCAGGTGTGTTCCATCTCCCCCCCAGGTGTGTTCCATCTCCCCCCCAGGTGTGTTCCATCTCCCCCCAGATGTGTTCCATCTCCCCCCCAGTGTGTTCCATCTCCCCCCCAGTGTGTTCCATCTCCCCCCAGGTGTGTTCCATCTCCCCCCAGTGTGTTCCATCTCCCCCCAGTGTGTTCCATCTCCCCCCCAGTGTGTTCCTTCTCCCCCCAGGTGTGTTCCATCTCCCCCCCAGGTGTGTTCCATCTCCCCCCCAGTGTGTTCCATCTCCCCCCCAGGTGTGTTCCATCTCCCCCCAGGTGTGTTCCATCTCCCCCCCAGGTGTTGTTCCATCTCCCCCCCAGTGTGTTCCATCTCCCCCCCAGGTGTGTTCCATCTCCCCCCAGTGTGTTCCATCTCCCCCCCAGGTGTGTTCCATCTCCCCCCCAGGTGTGTTCCATCTCCCCCCCAGGTGTGTTCCATCTCCCCCCAGGTGTGTTCCATCTCCCCCCCAGTGTGTTCCATCTCCCCCCCAGGTGTGTTCCATCTCCCCCCCCAGGTGTGTTCCATCTCCCCCCAGGTGTGTTCCATCTCCCCCCCCAGGTGTGTTCCATCTCCCCCCAGGTGTGTTCCATCTCCCCCCAGGTGTGTTCCATCTCCCCCCCAGTGTGTTCCATCTCCCCCCCAGGTGTGTTCCATCTCCCCCCCCAGGTGTGTTCCATCTCCCCCCAGGTGTGTTCCATCTCCCCCCCAGGTGTGTTCCATCTCCCCCCAGGTGTGTTCCATCTCCCCCCCCAGGTGTGTTCCATCTCCCCCCAGGTGTGTTCCATCTCCCCCCCAGGTGTGTTCCATCGCCCCCCAGGTGTGTTCCATCTCCCCCCCCAGGTGTGTTCCATCTCCCCCCAGGTGTGTTCCATCTCCCCCCAGGTGTGTTCCATCTCCCCCCCAGTGTGTTCCATCTCCCCCCAGGTGTGTTCCATCTCCCCCCCAGTGTGTTCCATCTCTCCCCCAGTGTGTTCCATCTCCCCCCCAGGTGTGTTCCATCTCCCCCCAGGTGTGTTCCATCTCCCCCCCAGTGTGTTCCATCTCCCCCCCAGTGTGTTCCATCTCCCCCCCAGTGTGTTTCATCTCCCCCCCAGTGTGTTCCATCTCTCCCCCAGTGTGTTCCATCTCCCCCCCAGTGTGTTCCATCTCCCCCCCAGTGTGTTCCATCTCCCCCCCAGTGTGTTCCATCTCTCCCCCAGTGTGTTCCATCTCTCCCCCAGTGTGTTCCATCTCCCCCCCAGTGTGTTTCATCTCCCCCCCAGTGTGTTCCATCTCTCCCCCAGTGTGTTCCATCTCCCCCCCAGGTGTGTTCCATCTCCCCCCAGGTGTGTTCCATCTCCCCCCCAGTGTGTTCCATCTCCCCCCCAGTGTGTTTCATCTCCCTCCCAGTGTGTTCCATCTCCCCCCAGGTGTGTTCCATCTCCCCCCAGGTGTGTTCCATCTCCCCCCCAGTGTGTTCCATCTCCCCCCCAGGTGTGTTCCATCTCCCCCCAGGTGTGTTCCATCTCCCCCCCAGTGTGTTCCATCTCCCCCCCAGGTGTGTTCCATCTCCCTCCCAGTGTGTTCCATCTCCCCCCAGGTGTGTTCCATCTCCCCCCAGGTGTGTTCCATCTCCCCCCCAGTGTGTTCCATCTCCCCCCAGGTGTGTTCCATCTCCCCCCCAGTGTGTTCCATCTCCCCCCCAGTGTGTTCCATCTCCCCCCCAGTGTGTTCCATCTCCCCCCCAGGTGTGTTCCATCTCCCTCCCAGTGTGTTCCATCTCCCCCCCAGTGTGTTCCATCTCCCTCCCAGTGTGTTCCATCTCCCCCCCAGTGTGTTCCATCTCCCTCCCAGTGTGTTCCATCTCCCCCCAGGTGTGTTCCATCTCCCTCCCAGTGTGTTCCATCTCCCTCCCAGTGTGTTCCATCTCCCCCCAGTGTGTTCCATCTCCCTCCCAGTGTGTTCCATCTCCCTCCCAGTGTGTTCCATCTCCCCCCCAGTGTGTTCCATCTCCCCCCCAGTGTGTTCCATCTCCCCCCAGTGTGTTCCATCTCCCCCCCAGTGTGTTCCATCTCCCTCCCAGTGTGTTCCATCTCCCCCCCAGTGTGTTCCATCTCCCCCCCAGTGTGTTCCATCTCCCCCCCAGTGTGTTCCATCTCCCCCCCAGTGTGTTCCATCTCCCCCCCAGTGTGTTCCATCTCCCCCCCAGTGTGTTCCATCTCCCCCCCAGTGTGTTCCATCTCCCCCCCAGTGTGTTCCATCTCCCTCCCAGTGTGTTCCATCTCCCCCCCAGTGTGTTCCATCTCCCCCCCAGTGTGTTCCATCTCCCCCCCAGTGTGTTCCATCTCCCCCCCAGTGTGTTCCATCTCCCCCCCAGTGTGTTCCATCTCCCCCCCAGTGTGTTCCATCTCCCCCCCAGTGTGTTCCATCTCCCTCCCAGTGTGTTCCATCTCCCCCCCAGTGTGTTTCCATCTCCCCCCCAGGTGTGTTCCATTCCCCCCCAGTGTGTTCCATCTCCCCCCCAGTGTGTTCCATCTCCCCCCCAGGTGTGTTCCATCTCCCCCCCAGTGTGTTCCATCTCCCCCCCAGGTGTGTTCCATCTCCCCCCCAGTGTGTTCCATCTCCCCCCCAGTGTGTTCCATCTCCCCCCCAGTGTGTTCCATCTCCCCCCCAGTGTGTTCCATCTCCCTCCCAGGTGTGTTCCATCTCCCCCCCAGTGTGTTCCATCTCCCCCCCAGTGTGTTCCATCTCCCCCCCAGTGTGTTCCATCTCCCTCCCAGTGTGTTCCATCTCCCCCCCAGTGTGTTCCATCTCCCCCCCAGGTGTGTTCCATCTCCCTCCCAGTGTGTTCCATCTCCCTCCCAGTGTGTTCCATCTCCCCCCCAGTGTGTTCCATCTCCCTCCCAGTGTGTTCCATCTCCCCCCCAGTGTGTTCCATCTCCCCCCCAGTGTGTTCCATCTCCCCCCCAGTGTGTTCCATCTCCCCCCCCAGTGTGTTCCATCTCCCTCCCAGTGTGTTCCATCTCCCCCCCAGGTGTGTTCCATCTCCCTCCCAGTGTGTTCCATCTCCCCCCCAGTGTGTTCCATCTCCCCCCCAGTGTGTTCCATCTCCCCCCCAGTGTGTTCCATCTCCCCCCCAGTGTGTTCCATCTCCCCCCCAGTGTGTTCCATCTCCCCCCCAGTGTGTTCCATCTCCCCCCAGTGTGTTCCATCTCCCCCCCAGTGTGTTCCATCTCCCCCCCAGTGTGTTCCATCTCCCCCCCAGTGTGTTCCATCTCCCCCCAGGTGTGTTCCATCTCCCTCCCAGTGTGTTCCATCTCCCTCCCAGTGTGTTCCATCTCCCCCCCAGTGTGTTCCATCTCCCTCCCAATGTGTTCCATCTCCCCCCCAGTGTGTTCCATCTCCCCCCCAGTGTGTTCCATCTCCCCCCCAGTGTGTTCCATCTCCCCCCAGTGTGTTCCATCTCCCCCCCAGTGTGTTCCATCTCCCCCCCAGTGTGTTCCATCTCCCCCCCAGTGTGTTCCATCTCCCCCCCAGTGTGTTCCATCTCCCCCCCAGTGTGTTCCATCTCCCCCCCAGTGTGTTCCCTCTCCCCCCCAGTGTGTTCCATCTCCCCCCCAGTGTGTTCCATCTCCCCCCCAGTGTGTTCCATCTCCCCCCCCCCCCCCCCAGGTGTGTTTCAGGTATCTCCACGCTCTTATAGACGTGTTCAAGGTCCCCCCAGGTGTGTTCCACCTTCCCCCCGCCCCCCCCCCCGCTCCCTCCCCTCCCCCCAGGTATCTCCCCCCCCCCCCTGTGCTCACGCGTGTTGTCGCTGCCGTTGCCGAAGAAGGCGGCGGCGGCGCGCGCCAGCAGCGGCACGCTCGTGTGGGACACCACGCGCACGCTCGCGCGGGCGCCCACGTCGGCGCGGTAGCGCGGGGCGAGCACCGCGTTGTTCATGCGCCACACGCACTCGGCGCCGTCGATGTCGCGCCCCGCGCCGGTGCCCAGCATCTGTCCCGAGCTCGACACGAGGGCGCAGTCCCCGCAGCGCAGGCGCAGCGGCTGCGTGGGGGATGGGGGTGGGGGAGATCGCGTGATCGTTGTCGTCATCATCATCGTTGTCATTGTCATCAAGATGATCGTCATCATCAACGTGATGATGATGATGATGATGACGATCGTCATCGTCGGCTTGTGGCTGTCATCGAACAAAGACGGCGGTCACCGCTTCACCGCGCGCTTTCAGATGCGCTTCTGCGGCCGTCTGGAACGCTTTTCCTTCTGATATCAGGAAGCCACTGGGAGCTCCGCACTTTTCAATCTGGATTGAAAACCAATTTATTTACAATTGCTGCTGTTTGTGTTGTTGTTGTTGTTGCTGTGCTTCCCACACACCTCCGATTAGCGCGGTTGGCTACGTACGGCGCGAAAGAAGTTCAACCTAGGTACGTTCTCGAACCCCCCTCTCCGGCGGGCACCCCCCCCTCCCCCCGGGTGCCTGCGGCCCATGCCCTGCCTGGCGTACCTCGCCTCGAGGCACGCCGATGTAGCTCGGCAGCGGCCGGGGCTGGGAGCGGCCGCACGCGTCGCCGAGGCGGAGAGCGGCGAGGAAGGCCAGGGGCCACGGGGGGGCCGCGGGGGGGCCGTGGTGGCGGCACGCGGGCTCCAGGCTGGACAGCAGCAGCGTGGCCAGCGTCGCCGCTCCGCCGAGCAGCAGCAGCAGGGCGGAGAGACTCTGCGTGTGGAGGGGGGCGAGGAGGACGGGGAGGAGGGGGCATTGAACTCAGGACGCCGGTCGTAGCGCTGTGCACTAAGTGCCAACCTGCCGCTTCCAAATCGACCCTCCCCACCACTCCCACGTGTATAAACACTCATTAATTGGCTGAAAACATCCTAATATGCAAAGGATTGCAGAGCCCCGGCAATTGTTGGTAGCACCGGCGCGCCTCCTGGCTGCTGCTGCTGTTGCTGCCTTGCTGCCATCCGTGGTTTCTCAGCGATTAGCGATACATGCAATTTACATGAACCACGATGCTATATACTAAACTGCACATCGTTGACATTATCATTATTAACACGCAGGCTTTCGCAACCAATATCATCCATAATAGAGGTTTTTTGGGTGAGATCACGTCAATATAAAATGTGTCGTTAAACCCGCCACTACCCGACACAGCCAACTAGTACGGCTTGTCACGTACACAGGACATGCCAATTCGTCACTAGTACAGCACACCGGTGTGTTGGAGAGCCAAGCCACAACATTTACAATCTGAGTACGATGTTCCTTATATAGAGGCGTAGACGTGGTGACCACATCCATAAAAACAAACTCTATTATGGATGATCATGATGACTCTTTTGTCCCGGTGGTTATTCAATCGGCCTGCATTCTCGTGACCGCAGACGTTCGGTTGACGCTGGAAGAACGCGATTGGTTGTGAGCAGCCCACGAGGATCAGCTGGAAAATAAAGTGGCAATCAATACGAGGAGAGGGGGGTAAACAACACTCGTAAACCCACTGTTGTGAAATCACAATTATCAGGTGACGATTGTGCAAAGCGGCTACAGTAGCACAAAGAGACAACTCCCGGGGTGAAGTCGCGGTCATGGGGTTAGGGAGGCGGGTCCGGGCCGAACCCACCCACTCACCCACCCACTCACCCGCTCACCCACCCAACCACCCACTCCCTCACTCACCCACCCACCGACGCACCCACCCACCCACTCACCGACGCACCCACCCACCCACCCACCGACGCACCCACCCACCCACTCACCGACGCACCCACCCACCCACCCACCGACGCACCCACCCACCCACTCACCGACGCACCCACGCACGGACTCAACGACCCACTCACCAACGCGCCCATACAACCCTACGTGCATCCTGGCACCTTTCAAATACAGTCCTGTCAAGGGTATGCGAATCAGCTCATTGTGCAATGTGCTCCCGGAAGGGAGGGAGACGAGCAGGACAGGGATTACGGAGCTGAAGATGAGATTCAGATGGAGCTAAGATTCGGATGGCGATGAGAGAGTTGTAGCTAACAGGAGGATGGTGGTGACGTCGTGACTCATGATCCATCACCGCCCGCCATCTCTTTTCTGGTGTCACAAAGACAAAGGTGCCTCGCAAGGCCTTTGCCACGCTTGTTAACAGGCGGGGTGGAGTGGACAGCACCACGTGAGGTCTACCAGCTTCTGAGTTCAGGATGGGTCTAAATGGGAAGGCCTAGGACCGGTGTGAGATGGTCGTTACCGATATTGGCCGTGAGCTGGAATCGAACTCGGGTGGCCGGAGACAAGATTCGTAGCGCGGTGCCGCCCTCACTGTGAACCCGGCGACCAAAAATGTAAATTCTTCCCACGGCCAACATCCGTGACGAACATCCCGTCCTGAGCTTTAAACGAGTACCTTGAGTGATGTGTTCACAGCCACCCAGGTTCTTTGTCTTCATCTGTGTAGCTTTGCACTCTGTTTTATCGATACTATACGATCGCGTATTTATGACTGCACTGTTTGCAGGCGACGGTGTTTGTTTAAGCCCGGGTCGCCCTTCACAAACGCGCTGTGTCTCAATCTTTTTACATTTTTAGTGAGTTCAACTGAGTCGCAGACGTATACTTGGAGGCAACACATTGATTTGACTCCAACACACGGGGTAACTTCCCCTTAACAGAATAACAACCTGTGGTGGTGACCACCAGGCTAGCTACACTAGTTACCACCGGGTGGTGACCACCAGGCTAGCGACACTAGTTACCACGTGACTGGTGTAGCTACCACGTGGTCACCACCAGGCTAACTATACCAGTTACCACGTGACTGGTGTAGCTAGCCTGGTGGTGACCACGTGACAAGCTACACTAGTTACCACGTGACCACCAGGTTAACTACACTAGTTACCACACTAATTACAACGTCACAGCTACTACGGACCGGGACCAGCAGCCCGGGTCCAGGTCCACGTGTTGGAGACTCGGTAGAACGTAGATGATTGCTTGAGAATTTTATTGTTTTATTTTAATTATTGTATTACTTCCCTTAGACGAAGTTTTCTTCAGGATGAACAACAACGCCGGCCCCTCTGGGGGACCCGGCTTGTATCCTCTGCGGCGTGGCCAGCTCCGCCCATGGCCACGTCCACCTTCCAGAATCCTCGAGCAGGATCTGGACCCCGACCACGTGACCACCCCTAGCCCTCACTTGGGGCCCCTTTGTAGACTTAACCGGTCACGTGTCCTCTCGGGTCAACCAGAGTGCCACGGCCTTGAGTAACCCCATTCCTACGGCCGGCACTCCCACACCCTGTCCTGTAGGGGCTGGCACTGCACGCCAAGCGTGGTGCCATCCAGCGCTGTCACTCAGCGCTCACCGGGCCCCTCTAGGGCCGGCACTGCACAGAGACATCCCGCGATGTCACTACACATCTACCGGGGTCGTTATAGACTCGTGGCCACGTGCAGCGACCACCTGAGCCGTCAATTGCTCAACCCGAGGTGCGCGACTGTTTGCAGGCGACGGTGTTTGTTTAAGCCCGGGTCGCCCTTCACAAACACGCTGTGTCTCAATCTGTTGACATTTGCCGGGGTTGTTATAGACTCGTGGCCACTGGCAGTGACCACCTGAGCCGTCAGTTGCTCAACCCGGGCCGCGCGATGTCGACACCCGTACAGAGTAGCCCAGCGCTGTGGAGGCAGCAGCAGCAGCGAGGGCTGGTGGATCACACACAGACGGGGTGTGAAGCTCGCCTTCTCGGGGGCGTCGGGGAGGATACGTACCCCCGGCTCGCCAGATAGAAGGCGGTACAGCAAGTGGGATACTCGCCATCTGTTCCGTCTGTACGGGGGTCGAGTGTTACCCCCTCGCGCAAGGCGTGGGGGGTTCTCCGGTTGCTCCGGGTTCCTCCTCCCACGTGAACGATAATAAACGACACGACTCGTCATGAATTGGCCGAACACATCTTAAAATTAAAATAAACCCCAATACAACAGAAGAACTCCGCTGAAAAACCAGCCCTGCTACTCAGTAGCGTGTCTCTCCTGAATAGAAAAAAGTTTAAATTCACGATGGGATGTCCACATAAATGCTGGTATGTTGTGACGCAGAGAGAGAGAGGGGGGAAGAGGGGCGTGCGGAGGAAACTCCTCGTCTGCTTGGCCACGCTGACGTTTGGATATCCTCCATCAGGAAGGACGCCAGTGTGGTGCAGCATGTCAGTGTGGTGGATGATGTGGTGCAGCACGTCAGCGTGGTGGATGACGTCAGCGTGGTGCAGCAGAGATCGGGCGCCAGAGAGAGAGGTGACAGAGCTGTGGACGGGATGTGCAGATGAATTACCTTCGATGCCGATGAGTGCGTCTGGTATTCACGTCGTCGTTGATGATGAAATAATAATGAGAATAGGCTTCACCACCACAGGTGTTAATATGTTCAAACATCAAATAAATACCGATCGCAAGGCAAACATGGTTTGATAATAATGTATGAATTGCCTTTGAAGCTGATTGACCGACACCAGAGTCTCACCAGCCTGAGAACAGAGAACAACCCCAAAAGGCAAACAGCGCAAAGGCAATGGAAATACCAGAACCATTTAAACTTCGGGCTGAGCAGGGACATCTATGGGAACTTTTTGCCAGTATCGATATTGGTCAGAAGGGTCCCCATAGCCACATCGTCGTCGTCATCATTCTCATGGAGGCAAGACTCGCGTCGTCGTCGTCGTCGTCAGCGCGCAGGAAGCGGCTGCTGCGCTTCCCACAGTCCGCGGTCGTTTCCACGGCATCGGGAAATGTTCACTCGCGCTCGGAGATTGTGCGCCGTGACTTTTCAAATCTGGCACTCACACCGATGGGGTGGCACTCACACCGATAGCACTCACACCGATGGGGTGGCACTCACACCGATGGCACTCACACCGATGGGGTGGCAGTCACACCGATGGGGTGGCACTCACACCGATGGCACTCACACCGATGGGGTGGCACTCACACCGATGGGGTGGCACTCACACCGATGGCACTCACACCGATGGGGTGGCACTCACACCGATGGCACTCACACCGATGGCACTCACACCGATGGGGTGGCACTCACACCGATGGCACTCACACCGATGGCACTCACACCGATGGGGTGGCACTCACACCGATGGCACTCACACCGATGGGGTGGCAGTCACACCGGTGGCACTCACACCGATGGCACTCACACCGATGGCACTCACACCGATGGCACTCACACCGATGGGGTGGCAGTCACACCGATGGCACTCACACCGATGGGGTGGCACTCACACCGATGGGGTGGCAGTCACACCGGTGGCACACACACCGATGGCATTCACACCGATGGCACTCACACCGATGGGGTGGCACTCACACCGATGGGGTGGCACTCACACCGATGGCACTCACACCGATGGGGTGGCACTCACACCGGCGTGACTGCGCCCCCCCCCCGCCCCCCGCGAGCGAGGCAGGTGGCGTGCGCGGCGCCTTTGATGGGTTTACAGCAGCCGAGGGGCGAACAACGCGAGGCGTGCGGTCGTTGAGAAGGTCTCGGGGGCGAGATGGGGTAGGAGGCGAAGGGGGTGAGATGGGGGTAGGAGGCGAAGGGGGTGAGATCGGGGTAGGAGCCGAAGGGGCTATCTGGCGATGAGATTATCGAAACGAGGGCCAGATAAGCCGGGGAGAGTTCAGGGCGCGAGAGAGAGCGGCAGAGC